CATTTTGCAATTTCGAAATGCACATAAAGATTTTTTTTTTTTTGTTGCTATTATTAAGCTCAAATAATCTTCACCCAAGACTTCTAGTTCAAGGATAAATGTATAAAGTTGTATTTCATTGAGGGTTTATGTAATGAAACAACAGTGCATAGCTAGTTGAAAGAAAGTTGTTCATTTAAAAAATATTTTAATGATCCCAAACAGAACTCTTACCCATCATATCCATGATCCATGTTTACATTTTTTTAAAATAATACTCTCAAAAGTGTGGTGTGCATTTATGCTGAGCCCCCTTTTACTACGACACCCCAGTTATTCTAGCTATAAATGTAGCTCATCTCTTCTGTGGCCTCTCAGCTCTGAGGGTGTGTGGATACTTTTGTAAAGCGCTCTATACATGGAACAAACCTAAGCTTGCATAGTAAAGCTCTTCTATTTAAATAGAGCTACTTTATTTTCAATAATCAGATTCTGTAGCTGCACAATATTCGATAATCTTGCAATAATGTTGCTAATTATTGTGATGGTAATATCAGTAACAATATGTCTGTTTTCTTCTTTCCACTCTCATCTGTGCTTCCATCACTGACTGACCTTTAGTCATTTGACCAGTGTCATTAGTGTCCAGTGTGAACATCTGCTGCTGCAAGACTCTGTCCAAGTGACTAAATATTACATTAGCATGGATAAATTAAGTTCATAACATCTGGAATATGTGAAGTCACCATATGACATTATTACTTTATGTTGCCATTTATTAAGCTGTTTAATGTTCTGTTAGTGAGGATGTGTGTGTCTTAAAGCTGCAGTCATCTCATCTTTTTCTGCTTCTGATGTCCTTTGAAAAACTCATTTGGCATTTTGCCATTACAAATGTACGCACGACTTTGACAATATTCTGTTATTGTCAACAAAATACAATTTTGCCATTGTGGTGTTTTTATTAAATGAGAAACATAATTACAGTCACAGATGAATAGGTCTGGTGATGCGATAAAGCATTAAAAAACATGCCACACCATGTTTTTGGCGTGTTTCCATAAAGCAAATTTGTTTTCAAAATGTCAAATTGTGCAATTACTTGGTCAGTGGAAACGCAGCTATTGTCTGGACAGCAGCCCTAAATTCTGTTTAATCCACAAACTGTTTCCATCCAGTTGTCATGTGGATTTTAAGCAAATTTTGTGTGTGTGTGTGTGTGTGTGTGTGTGTGTGTGTGTGTGGGTGTGGCGGGGGGGGGGATGAATTGTTTTTATCTACTGGCTTTGTGAATCAACCAGGCTACGCAAAGCCTAATTTCATCAGGTGTTGACGACTTTAATACATGACTGTATTAAAGAGATGCAGAGGTTTCAAGCTAGCATAGACCACACTTCACATAAATTGGAAAACGTTCTCACCTCTAAGCTGAAGGGTTGGACTTAGAAATTCCTTTGAGTTTCATGCATCTTGTGAGGCACAGAGCCACCAGTGGATGGGAGCAATCCTCTGCCACCATCCCAGCCTGGAGTGCCTTGAGCTGGGCCACTGTAAGCCACAGTTCTCCCCTCCGTGCAGGAGGTATGGACTTTGAAATGTTCTGATTTTTGCGCCTCCAGTAAGGCAGAGCTACCAGTGTATGGAAGAATTTGCTATGTGATATTTTTTTTTGACAAATGTATTTCTATGAACCAGATAAAAAAAATAAAACTAACTAAAAACAGAAGAGTCAAAACTATTGTTTCTGAAAAAGAAAATAATATATTTCCTGAAAGGAATCCCAGGAATTATGGGCAAGGTTAAGTCTCCATCCAGGTCAGGATTGGTGTAAACAGTGGATCCCATTAACAGTCTAATTTTGCTAATACCTGGCTCTAATCGGATGAAGCCACAGGGGGACTGAGTACAGGAACACTGGGGGCGTCTGCTTTAGCTACAGCCAAGATTAAAGGTTCACCTTTGGATCTCCTGCTTTTTCATGTCAGAGCTTTCTGGAATAGATAGAAAATGTAAACTCGGGTATATACCAGCTGGGGAATGTTGAACCATCTTCTATAAATAGGAAACACTCAGCCAAAATGTGGAAATATGACCAACACATGACTGTTGAGCAATCTCTGGCAGCAGTAATGCCTGGTAAAGAGTTTCTATATGACCTTTTTAGTCTCTGACAAGGTCGATGAACTTTGGCCTGATTTTATTCACCAAGTTATGTTGGTTTATCAAGTATTCTAGGTGTGGTTTCTTAATGTTCCACTTCGCAAATTACTGTTGAGATGTATACCTTCTCTTTTTGTTCTTTCTTTCCATCAACAATGTTCCATACACCGTCATACGAAACTCTTCTGAAGTTTTGGATCTACAGTGATTTATGCATGGCTTACCTACAAAATTGTTTAATTGAAGTATTTTATGCTTTATTCATTGCTGAACAGGAAATAAATTCTCAATTAAGCCTTCAAAGATTGTAGTTTTTCTATAGTGTTTTATTTTTTGGTTTGCTAGTTCTCTTGAGATGACGTTTTGTCCCACAGCCCTGGGTTAGAAACTGGCTGCATCTCGGGCTTCGGGATGCAGTGAGAATCAGGTGGTTTGCTCAGCTCCGTGTTACATAAAAGCTGCAACATGTTGCAGTGAGCCTCTCAGTTCATTAAACCTCTCTGTTTTTATCCCTCTCCTTTCCCCCCTTTGATGTGAATCTGTATTACGACCACCGGGGGAGCTGTGAAACGTCTCGCATGCAGCTTTTAGAAAGCCGTTCGACGGCCGGCCATAATATCGGAGCGGGCCTCCTGGAGGGCGATGTGATCGTTTCGACATCTAATCTGTGTCTTCACACCATTGTTCGCACATAGACATACACACACACACACACACACACACACACACACACACACAATTACCATGGCAACAGTGGGTCTCATCTCTGTAGGCAACATGGAAGAGTTTTTCTTTCACCTCTTCAGCTCCTCGTGGCGTTTCGGTGAGGATTCAGGGATGCCCCGCGGCGACATATTGTCCTTCACCGGGACATTGGAGATATTGGCCATGTTTTTAGCTAATCTGTCTGATTTTAATAAAGAAAGCCACCTCTGTTTCACTGGATGTTTAATGACTAGATGGTAAATATCCTGGAGTTATTTCAGCTCTGATAGTTGGAGATTGTTTTAGACACATCAAGCTTTTAAGAAGGCTGGAATATAAAAATAAATTGAAATGTTCTTTTTACAAATACTAAGGTTATAAAAGTGGAAATATTGTAGGTCTGGATCAATTACTGAAGTAACTGTCAACCAATTTAGTAATTGATTAATCGTTAAATGAACGATACAGACTCAAAAAAGGCCGTTTTGCTGGAAGAGAAAGTTTAATTGAGCCAAAACTCACATTTTCCATTTAAGACATAAAAACGTGTATCTGTGTTCAACCCAGAACTCTGAAATTGGCTTTGTTTTTTTCTTCACTTGTTTCAAATTCTGTTAAAAAAAAAAAAAAAAAAATTCTATTAAGTAGCTTTTGCTATCTAATTATTAATTGGTTGATAAAAATAAATTAACACAGCAGATTTACTTTGTATTGATATGATTTACATGTATTCACATGCTGGCATATTTTAGCTGCAGATTCATCCTTTCCTACAAATAATCAATAGTTCACTAAAGAACTCTAGTTGTATTTTACACAATTAAGTGTTTTATTTAAAAAGAAATTGAATGGTTTAATGGCATCTTTTAATGTATTTCTAATATTGTTAAGAGGCTGCAGTGGTTGCAGAGTGCATTTTTTTATCAATTGATCGTCAGAATAATCAATAACTAAAATAGTTAGTTGCAGCTCTGAAATATTGTTCATGAAGTAGAATGCTTTTTTCTTCTCTTTTGTAGTTTTTTTTCTCCATTTCCTGAAATATAACTGTATAAAGTTATTTACAAATGACTGTAAAGAAAAGTCTGAACATTCTGCACATCGAGTGTGGCATGGTGAGGGCAAATGAAACTGAAACAATACAGACAACGGATTTCATTCTAGAACACTGACTGCTAATTGTTCCGTAATGACCGTGAATGCAGCATTTGTTTGAACTGACGGTAAGCATACCAGTGAGGCCAGAGGCAGAAACAGGCTGCTTCCTTCCTTTGTGTTTCTTAGGCTGCAGCTTGGTTCACAGATTCTGTGAGCTGCTGTTTGTTCTGACTGAGGATCATGCATCCTGCCTGTGTATGTATTAATATATGTTAGTATGTTTGGGAGAAGGATTTCTACCAGTGCATGCTTCCTGTGCAGCCTAGAGAAATGGAGAACTTGATTCAAGTGTCTTCATGAAACAATCCGTTAGCCAGCAGCTATCCACCCATCTGACCTGTTCGTTGTCCGTCTGTCCGTCTGTGACTTTAGTGTAAACATTGTCATAATCACTCAGAGTATGCTTTCCAATGTCTTATTTACTTGAACAATCTGAGAAGTCCTCCCCCCTCCAATTATTTCATTTTATTTAATTTTTTTTGTGAAGTGGGTTCAGAGGTAGTGAGACTTTGGCCATTTGTAGACTCTGATCTCAAATGCAACATAGAAACATTACAGCTTGGTCATATCTATGCTAGATCTTTCATACATAGAAGTTTGCAGTGATTCTCTAACGTCTCTTTTTCCCCAAATTAAACACATTTCTTAAAACGGAGCATATTTCATGTTACTGTGGGAAACAAAAGTAACTGTTTTAACACCAAATTAAAAGATGGTGGTTTAAAGGGATCATGATTTTATTAGTTATATATATGAATTGTTTTGGACGGTCACTCAGGAATCACTTTACTGTTATACGGAAAGCTGTTATGTTATTTAGTGATGATAATATTAGGAACAGTTCTATCAGTTGTATCAGTGAACACGTAGTTCTTTTTCTCACCACTTTGTGTCTTTTGTTTTTTTCCCAGGCTTCCTGCTGTTTAAAGATTTCTGTATGAACGAGATCGACGAGGCTGTGCCTCAGCTCAAGTTCTACGAAGAAGTAAGTCGGAAGTGTGTGTGTGTGTGTGTGTGGGTGGCATTAGGCCTCTATAATCCAGCTCAGCCACATATGGCCCCCCCAGAAGCCCTGTGAATCTGAGTCCCGTTTCTGTTTCAGATCAAGGAGTACGAGAAGCTGGACTCTGAGGACGAGCGTCTGAGCCGCAGCCGGCAGATTTATGACGTCAACATCATGAAGGAGCTGCTGTCCTGTTCACATGTGAGAATACACAGAGAGGACGCCTGCTGTCGGTCAGGCGGCCTCCAGCATGCTGCTGACTTCAAGTGAAAGCAGAAAATGAATCATTTCTGTCGGGGGATTTATTCAGCTCCTTTAATCAAATGGAATGATTCATTAACTCAGATCAGGTTCCATGTTGCTGCTGTTATGTGTTTTTAAATGGCATATCTTGCTGTGAAAGTTCTGAACCAGACCATTCTGTATGCAACTTGCCAAGGTCAGTCTTTCTGGTTAAAATCCTCCCATTTGAAGCACATGCTACCAAAGACTAAATTCACACAGCAAGCGAATGCGACTCAAATCTGATGTTTTATTTTATTTTATTTTTTCTCCCAAAATGTGGCCTGTGTCTGACTTTTTCATGGCGCTCTGAATGACCGAGTTCTGACCTTTTCACCTCCCAAAAAATCTGATTTGTGCCACATGCATATGTGGAACTAAATCAGATGAGCTTTCGAGAGTGTTCAAAGTCTGAACACTGCATTTTATCTGACCTTTACGTCACTGACATGAGAAATGCATCACAAATCTGCACCAGAAGAAGTCAGACTATGTAAATCTGGACGTAAACAAAGGCTTGTGAAAAAAGTCACAGTAATCGCAATCTCACCACTCTTAGTTTTGGCTACACATCCAGATGCTTGGTTGTTTTTAACATGAATGACCTGTTTGTCATGTGTTTTTACTTTACCAGGCAGCTAAACAAAAAGACTGCTATTTAAAATACCACAATTAATCAAATGACCTAATGTATAAACTTAAAAAAAAAAAAAAAAGAATTTAATGCATTACATTTAAAAACCTCCTTTTTTTGGTTGATAGTGACTTTTCATTTTGCAGAAAAGTCTTGTCTGTTTGCCCAGCTGCATGAAGGGGAATCAGTTGATTTTGCAAATGTCCCTGTCAGGATGCAGGTGTGTAAATACTTCCATACTCATCTTGTGTCAGCTAGGCCAAACAATTAAAAAAAACGCTGATGTCGCTACACGAAGCACTAAAACCGGATTAAACGGGACACCGGCATCCGTCGAGTTCGCCTCTTTTTTTATTGGCTGTAGATTTTATCCAGAATCATCCTAACTGGTAGGCGGTGCTGGGAAGAACACCTTTAACACAAATCCAGCTGCTGCTTCATTTTCCCCTCTGGCTGTGTGTCTGAGATAGCAGCTTCACCTGAATGGATGCTTCGCTTTGCTGATCCCAGTTCAGTTCACAGCTTGCAGTTTTTTACAGTTTTTCCTAATTTAATGTTTCTAGATTAGTCAACACAAATTTGCAGACACAAAATATACATCTTGCAAAAAGTCCCGAACTCTTAAAAACTCTGTGTGCTACAATCAGAAACTTCAATGCGCATTTAAGCAGAGTTTATGCTGTAGAACAAAGTAGCACATAACTAAAGTGGATAACTAATATTAATAATAATACATTTGATTTATAATGCCTTTCTCATCTTGAGATTTCAGAGTTAAAAACAAAACAAGCATTCAGTATTGATAAAAAATACAAGTATCTAAGAAAGTAAACCAAACATTTTTGCAAAAAAGAAACATCTTAAGACCTTTTTGAGTCATAATTATTTTGATGTGATAACTTTAAACTTAAACGGCCCACATACACCCAGCTACCTCTGGAGCCTCCCAGCAGCAGCAGCAGCATGTTGACCCATGGGACAGCCTTCTTGCACAGAGGAAGCAGAACTGAAACTACTGTTCACATTGCATCTTTAATCACCCCGTGTTTTTTTTTTTTTTTTTGCAGCCATTTTCCAAGAAGGCAGTGGACCATGTGCAGAGTCATCTGGCAAAGAAAATGGTCCCCCCAACTCTCTTCCAGGTAAAACGCACTCCCAGCACATGGGAGGGCCTTTTTACACCAAACAGGAAGCAGATTATCTAAAATCAGCTTTTCAAAATAGATGTGAAACTTTTGCTTTCACAGTTTTGCTCAGATACTTAGCAAAGTATGAATCCGGTCAGGAAAGAGAGACTGCTGTCTCTAGACATGGTGGAAGTTATGTCATGCTGTGGGTCAGTTTGCCATGTTGTAAATGGACTTTTTGAGCTTTATAACATATCATAATGTTATTCCTTCATCAAAAACATATCTGGAGTGTTGCCTTGATTCTTTCACGCATGTTTGAGGAATCCTTGAATCAATAAACTAATATAGCAGTGTCTGATGGTGTGCAACAGACTTTGCTTGTCTTTTACTTTCTTTAACATGTCCTGTTTGACAATATGGCTTTGGGTTTATTTCATTTGTAATGGACACAGAGACGGAAAATAAAGGGAGAGAGGAGGGGAAAAAGGTTTAATGGCAAAGGAGGTAGAAGTAGTAGAGAAAGAAAGCTAAAGAAAAAACACCCAAGAAGTTTACTTCTACACCTGCAGAACAAGAAAAAAACTGAGAAACCATAGCAACAAACAAGCACACTCCTTTCATCTGTTTTAACTTTTCTCAGTCAGAAGAGTTTTCCATTTCCTCCAGTTCCTAAAAAGTCCTTGTAGCTGTATATTAGAAACCGTCTCATTAATGTCTTCACTGTAAGCTGCTACAGTACACACCTCACTGTGTTTCCTCTCTATCTGCCAACCTCTGATACTCTCCTCACTGAATTAATGCTATCCATCCAGATTAAGTCTCATATTTTATAGTTATACATGCCTTACTCTTAAGTATCCGTTGTTGGAAGGAAAGGCCCAGCAGAGTAAGTCCAGAACAAGCCAGACAAAAGTTGGCCTGCATCTTGGTAAATCGAATCACTCTTTTCCTCTTTTAGCCCACCGCCTGGCTATTAGTCTGTTTACTCACTTATCCCCTGTGACTCATTGCAACTCCAAAATACGCCATGCATATGCCAGTATTTCCCGTGTTATTACTCAATATTTAAATCGTACATTCAGCTGGAACTGTTGACCGTTTATTAAAACAGATGCTTGAAAAATGTAACTGTTTTTCTCTTTGGTCTTGTGAGCAAAAACTAGAAACTCTGACATGAGCTGCGTGTCCATGTCAGAAGTGAATGTTTCTCATAAGGCTTCTGAGCTGAGCCTCTTTCTGTCTCTGCTGCAGCCATACATAGTGGAGATCTGTGACAGCTTGAGAGGGAACATCTTCCAGAAGTTCATTGAAAGGTGAGCCGGTGAACGTGTGGAAACACAGCCATGGCTCTCACTGCTGGCACGGTCCCATTTTAACCCTGTTTCTGTTCTGACCTCAGTGACAAGTTCACTCGGTTTTGCCAGTGGAAGAACGTGGAACTCAACATCCATGTGAGTACGAGATTGTGACGTCCACCTCTCACACGAGGTTTGATCGAAGTAGAACCTGAAACAGTGCAATGTGAAGGCAGAGTATGTTTATGTTACAGCCACAGATTGCAGTGGCTTTCATTCAGATTTTAGGTTACGGATCAACACAAAGTCGAACATAATTACAAAGTGGAGGGAGAAATTAATTCTCAACATTTTCGGAACTAGAAATCTGAAAAGTGTGGTGTGCATTTTTTGTCATGCAGACGCTGCAGTGACAGCTGCAGGTGTCAGGTTTCCACAACTAGAGACTGAAGCGTTCATTCTTCTTCATAAACTAACTCATTATGTCTGAGCAGCTTCCCTGTCTAAGCTGAAGAAAAGCAGCCACTGCATGATGCTGCCACCGCCAAATTCACTTTATTACTCTATTCTTTTTTACTTTATGTCTTAGTCATGTATTCAGGATAAAGTAAAGGAAGCAGTATGCAAATGCAAAGCAAAAAAAAGTTGTATTGAGACCTGCATGGCTGGTTAAATAATGACATGAAATGGCAATATTTGTAATTGTATGTTCAAAAGCTCTTAAGCTGAACTTCTAAACTTATAGAAAACTTTGGTTTTTTGTCAAAGCTGTGTAGTTGCCAGAAAGCGTTTGTGGTTATGTGAAGCTCAAGCCTAAGCAGAAACTAAAAGTATAAAGCAAAAACTATGAACTCATTTCAGCTATGATTATAACATGACCCAATAATTTGTTATGAATTTATGAACTTCCTCCTAATGCATTGGTAATTCTTCCTGTTGTTTCTGCTGGGGATTCGCCAGTCTGCTTTTTTCATTTCCAATACCGATATCTGAGGTTTAGTATCAGTCGATGCCGATCCAGAAAAGCAACTCAATTGACGAAAAGCATTTCTTTTTTCTAAAACACAGACATATATGGACTAAATTACAAATTAATTTTTTAACTCTGCACCAGTGCAGCACACTTAGATTCACCAATGGCTTCACAGGTTTAATTTGTTCAGTTCGGGCTTTTAGGAATAGAACAGCCGATGTGAAACACAGAATCAGTAGGTTGACTAGTTGGTTAAACATGTAATAAACAAACTGCAACAAACCTTCTTTCAAATGGTTTAGAAAGTCCAGTTAGGATTTCTAAATAATGTAAAATAATTACTAAAGAATGATGTCGCTCAGAGCCCAAAGCATAGAATTAGCCTGAATAGATTTGATTAAAAACAATGTTGTTGTTGAGCTCGCATGTTTTCATTCATAATTTAACAGCAAAGGGGGTTTCTGAAATGAAAATGTTGCTTATTTTGTGAAAATGCATTTAGTTTTTGAATAAAGTGCAATTAAGTAACTGCAGACCTTACAATTAGCTTGATTAATAATGCTAATTGAGTCCCACCACCACTAGTAATAATTGATTCTTAGTGTTTTTTTTGACACATCCAAGCTGGAATTCCTCACTTTCCTTCATCTTAACAGAAATGAGCAAACTATCCAGAAATGGGTCTCAAGACCTGAAATTAGACTGAATAGATCTGTCCTTATAGATGGGGTAAATTGTCACCGATATCCGATCTGGAATGTTTTCAATATCAGGAGTGGTCCAGATATCAATATCTGATGGGTCCAGCTCTAGTTTCGGATTGTTTTTACTCTCCTGCAGCAAAGAAATGGTCATTATGGCTTGTTTTCAATAACACACTGGTGTCTGAAGTTTAGTTTTATATGTTCTTACAAAACATTAGAATAAAAAAAAACAAAAAAAACAAACAAAAAAAAAAAAAAGGTTGCTGTTCTCCCTCAGCTGACCATGAACGACTTCAGCGTGCATCGGATCATCGGCAGGGGCGGCTTCGGGGAGGTGTACGGCTGCAGAAAGGCCGACACGGGGAAGATGTGAGCAAAACAGCTGAAATTGTTAGAAACCCGGCCGCTTCGCCCGCTTTGTTGTAATGCTTTCGACGTTCTCTGGATTCCAGGTACGCCATGAAGTGCTTGGACAAGAAGAGGATCAAAATGAAGCAGGGCGAGACTTTGGCGCTCAACGAGAGAATCATGCTGTCGCTAGTCAGCACAGGGGTGAGTGTCGACTCCAGATGGCTTTTCTTTAAGCTTTAGTCGTTTGAAACTAATTATTGCCCCACTATCTCAAGTTCCTGTGGGTTGGTTAGGTTTTTAAACACACCCGATTCAGAGTGTTACCACCTCTCACCTGACATTTCATCTCTGATGTCCGTCAGTTGTGCGCTTTTTAACACACGTCATCTAAGTCATAATTTAACACTCCGGTTTCTCACAGACGTCCGTCCTGTGAAAAGGCTTCACACCAGCTGCTTGATGGGAGCTTTCTTATTCACAGATCTACATGTCAGAGGTTCTGACAGATGCTCAGACCACCCCAGTAGCACACAGCTGGCATCAGATTTACCCAACATGAGCAACTGTTTAAAGGGGGGAATAGTGGTTTTGTTGTACAATTCTGACCTGGTAGTAACCCTCAGTTTTGGGTCAGATGAGCTCTACTGATTAGCATTAAGTATAGGTGTGAACGCTCTTGGAAAATTAAAAATGGCGACAGCCGTCTCACACCCCTGGTGTGTGGCCAGTTTATTTTGGAGTTGTTGAACATTGTGGTCACAAACAAAACTAGAATAAACTAAGAGTCAACAGATAAATCGGTTGGCTGATAAATCGGCCCAGATTATCTTTACTTTGGGAGATTAGCTAATACTTACAAGTGAAACCAATTCACTGACCTTAGCTTCCTCCAGAAAGGTATGAAAATCAGCCAGTAACTGCATTTCAATTACAAATGTGCACAAAATGTTGTGAATATTCCACTAATGTTGAAAAGACACAATTTTGCAATTGGTTGTTTCCGTAAAATAAGAAATCCAATTAAAATCCCACAAAATACGTTTGTTAAAAAAATACTGCACCATTGTCTTCCTACTACTTCCTGTTGTCGTCTTCTTTGTCTTTTCCACCAGTAGTAACATCCAAAAATATTGTTTCCATTGCGGTTTTTTTGCGAAATACCCTAATTTCAATATAACTGAAAGACCACCTCATCCTAGAACAAAAACTTTTTATCAGAAATATCTTGTGACTTTTTAGCTAAAAAGCAATCAGTGCAGTTAATTCCAGGACATCATTCAGTTCTATAAGCTGGATTGTTATTGCTGCTGTCGAATGCAACAACAGCTAATCAGTTTTTACAGTCAGACTCTCTTGTCCGTAATAAAAAGAGTGATGCATTATGACAGTGATTGGTAATGTAACCAGCTGTACTCCCTGGTGGTAGAATGCACTCTGTGAACCTGGAAGTCTGAGCGTTGCAGCGGCAGGCTGTGTGTCCTTCTACTATCAAAACTAATATTTACAGTGAAGAATGAAACGAATCCCTTCCTGCCAAGGAGGCGTTTGATGTTTCATTGTGTTGACATCGTTTAGGCTAAACACTAAAGCTAGTGAATAGCTTTGTTTCTGCACGAGTCAGAAAATAACTTTGATTTGAAGTGTTACTGTGTTTGTTTTAATACAGTGAATAACTCAGAACAGTTATTTATTTAACCACCCAGTATGAACAGCGGTGCAGAATCAGACAGGAAGCCTGTTGGCGCCAAATCTGTACAGGTGCTGTAAGCAGCCAACCAGAACCAGCCTGTAGGAGGGTGTGAATACTTTTCTGAGCAGCTGTTCAGGGAACAATAGTCTTAAGGTTTTTGATAAATCTAATAGTCAGGGTCAAGACACTTTCAGAAAGAGCACTGAGCTGATAACACACACTCTGGCCACCTTATCTACACACAGTCTTACACTTCATTCATTCATTCATTCATTCATTCATTCATTCATTCATTCATTCATTTTCATTGATTCTAAAGGGAAATGAAATACAATGAAAAACGAAGCAAGTAAAAGGTCCCCAGATTTTCTCTTTTTACTCTGTAAGTTTACAGATTACACATATCTGCAGCTGCATTTACAATGAGAATCTGCTTCGCTGGCCGAGTGTGTGTACGTGTGTGTGTGAGTGTTGGTACACAGACTGGAACGGTAACTTTGGTTTCACTGAAGAGTACCTGGAAGATGTTTATTGTTTTTATCAGAAAGAGAGGCTGAGGGAAGCCTGAAGGTAAATGTCTAAACAGTTTGTGTCCAGGATGTGTGGGGTCTGCAGAGATGTCAGTGGTGCGTTCACTGACCTGTAAAAGTCCAGGATGGATGGAAGGTCAGTGCTGGTCTGAGTCACCATGTCTATCGCCATGGTGACTCAGACCAGTGACAGTGGGATCATCAGGAAATGAATTTGAATCAAAGATGTAACAACATCACTGAATGAAAACAAGTTTAAACTTATTGATGATGAGGATGATGATGATGTGTGTGTCTTCCTTCCAGGACTGCCCGTTCATCGTGTGTATGACGTACGCCTTCCACACCCCCGACAAGCTCTGCTTCATCCTGGACCTCATGAACGGTAGGCTGACCTCTGACTCATCATCCCAGATCAAAACTCTGAGGCTTCATCCTCAGACGGGCCGACTGGATCGCACAACCCGACTCTGGTTGATGGGCTCATTCCCTCCCTCAACAATCTTCACCCTTCAGACGATACTTAGAGCACATCGTTGTCAGTGTTATGATACACTTTGTGTGTTCCTGTGTGTTCAGGGGGCGACCTGCACTACCACCTCTCCCAGCACGGTGTGTTTAGTGAGAAAGAGATGCGGTTCTATGCTGCTGAAATCATCCTGGGCCTGGAGCACATGCACAACCGCTTCGTCGTCTACAGAGACCTCAAGGTGAGCCGCTGATCCTGAAATGCCAAAGTAGCATTTAGCGCATCGATATACGTTACCAGATAGGACAACACCGATTAGACGCTATAGCTAGTGACGGTTCTAATGTGGGATGTGAATTAATTTCACATAAATGTTCGTAAGCCTATTTTTTGCTTACTATTCTGTATATACATTTATATTTCTGTTCTTAAATTAAAGCTGAGAAAATTGCCAATAAAGTATGTATACTCCCTAGATATGAATCTAAAAACTGTTTATTTTCTGTTGAGATGCATGAAAGCAAATTTCTTTTTATATTGGACAATATAATTTTATGTAATTGCTGTAGGAGACATGGTATAAAATGTAGCAAACTATGGTTTCCTATTTAAGTGTTATGAATATCTCCAAGTTCTGTGAACAAACGAGGCAATACTTCAGTTTTTATCGTTAAAGTTTTGTAAATTACATCGGCTGCAATGCCGATGCATTGGTTGGAGTGAACTCTGACTTGGTTCAAATGCATATGTGAACACCAAGTGAACCGGAGAGTGCTCCAAAAGCAGGAGGTGCACTACAGCGCAGGGCATTCTGGGTAAATGCAACCAAAACAAACTTGTTAGAGAAATGGCACATGGCCTTTCACTAAAGACAAAAGAGAAATACTCCAATCGCTAAGCTCTGACGCCGCTCCATTTTTGTTTACATTTCATGAAGAAGGAAGTTGTGCTCAGTATTTTCTTCAGACGTTTTCATGTCATTTCTTAAAGTAGTTCATGTTGCAGTGCCCCCACATGCAAGAGGGGAGGGGGGCAGGTTGTTCCACACTGAATAACCACCTCCAAGCAGGCCACAGGGGGCGCTCTATGGGGCTGTCAGCGTTTCCCTTTACTGCCAATCAGATGTTTTAATAATTCAAATTTAGTCATTGCTCTCAGAGTTTCATTTAATTTCCAACACTGCCTGGTACATTTTTAATATCATGTTACAGGATGAACCACGACCGCTGACGTAACGCTTTTTATCTTGCCTAAATTACATTAATAGAAGGGGAAAAAAAAGTATGAATAAAGAGTGTCTGTCAGGGATCTCCCCTACCTGCTGCCACTGCATAGAGCAGAACATCGAGCTTTAACTACACCCACCCACATAAAAATCCTTGTTTTCAGCCTTTCCCCTGTTTCAGCTCTGGTTCTGTTGTTTGGACGGGTTGCCATAACAATAGCCAAGATTTTGCAGGGGTTCAGGGAACATTTTCAGAGCTTCTATAAACAGTCGAGTGCAATGCGAATACTACGTCAACGCCGAGCGCTGCAGAGCGAAACAGAGCGAAACAGAGCGAGAGAGTCACAGAAGGTAACCAGGACAGGAGGCCGTCTTCTGCTGTCTGCGTCTGCTCAGAATGTGAAGTGGTAACCTCTGCTTGTTGTCGTCCTCCGTCAGCCGGCCAACATCCTTTTGGACGAACACGGCCACGTTCGGATCTCAGACCTCGGCCTGGCCTGCGACTTCTCCAAGAAGAAGCCCCACGCTAGCGTGTAAGTGCAAGTGCCTCACACTCACAAACGTTTATTTCTCAGGAGGAAGAACGTCGATAAGAGACGTTTTATCTGTGGCTTTGTTGCTTTGGTGGTTATAAAATTGCGGCTTCACTCATTTCATAGAGCAGAGCATCAAAGATGTGACGATTCTTTAATTTTTATTGCCTGATACTGATCTCTGCTTATATTCAAGATCTCAGCAGCTAGTTTGTTTGTTTTTTCTACATGGAGGAATAATTATATATTTAAGAAAAATGTACTAAATATGGAAAATGTTTTTTTTTTTAATGTTTGACCTGACAGTTCTTTGTGATCAGGGGGATAATTTAGTCTGCTTTATTTAAGAGAAATGACCCCTAAAGATTTGAATTAAAAATGAATTGAGTGATAAAATGCAGATCATTTCACTGCTTTAAACTGGATTTGTAAACACTTCTGTCTGCTGTAAACACCACCTTCGGTTTTATAAATGCTTCTTGGAACAATGTGTACATGTCTGGTGTTCTGGCCATTTATGTTGAATTTTTATAAATCATAACTTCTGCCAGTTCAGTTTTCTTCTTTAGACAGTTAGAATACACTTGAGTTATTTTTGAACCAAAATCTGTAGTTCATTTTTGTACTTGGAATTATGATTACTTTGGTAACTTTTACACCCTCCTATTATTTTAAGAAATTAGGAACACACTGTAGTTGTGTCAACGGACATTTTTGTTTGTCAAATGTCCGGTGTGATGAGGGGAAGTGTGTTAAAATATTTTTTTTGACCACTTTTTGAACTTGGAAGATCAAATTAAGTTAACTTTAATTTACATCAAGTTAATAAAAATGTCCTAGACATAATTTTGTCTGTATTTTTGATAGAAATAAAACATTTTTTCAAACAAGTCGGAAGTGCGTTTAAGAAACAGACCACCTGTTTCCACCCACGACCTTTATTTGGAATAATTTTGGTTTTGGAGATGAGTAGACTGTGACGTCTGGTCTGCAGTGTCAGAAAGTCCAGAAATCCCAGCCAGCTTTATGAGCATCATTCACTAACAGCAACTGTTGCTTATTCGTCAGACTCATTATGAAATGCGCCTGCAGGGATGATGTGACTAATATTTTCTGGAGATAAACCGACTCCATCTTGTAATCTGCAGAAATTCAGACAGCAGCAAAAGAATCCAACATTTTTAGGAATGTGTTTTAAAGCATTGACACAAATAAAAATAAAAACAAGCTGCTGATTTCTCTACAGCATCAGTTGGACTTGCATGTATAGCAGATATCTCACTGCCATTGACGTTTCTGTTCTTGTAGAAGCAGCTAATGAGTTTAAATCATTTCCTTTCAAACCAATTTGTTGGAAATGTTTTACATCCGGTCACGTTTTTCCACTCTCCTGTTTGGTTGTCTTGCTCTGTAAATCACCAATGTGTAACTCCAACTCGCTGTGTGTGTGTGTGTGTGTGTGTGTGTGTGTCACAGTGGGACTCATGGCTACATGGCTCCAGAGGTCCTTCAGAAGGGAACGGCGTACGACAGCAGTGCAGACTGGTTCTCTTTAGGCTGCATGCTCTTCAAACTCCTCAGAGGGTAAAAAGCTCCAGCTTTCCTCGCTGCTCTCCTCTTCCTCCTCTTCTGTGCTCTCCACTCCCTCCGCATCCTGACGTCCTGTCCGCTTTGAAACCTCTTCTGGCTCTCTGTGCGAGCCTCTTTGAATCTGCTCACTTCCCCTTCTCTCTGAGTTCCTCTCACCCGCCAGCCTTCTGTTTGGTGTGTGTTTGATCTTGTTTGTGTATGAGAGCAAGTGTGTGCGTGTGTTTGATCTAGAGTGTGTAAATGCCAGAGGTCTGGTCCCAGCAGGCCGAAATCCAGGTAAAGGGTGTGTGCGTGCGGGAGGGAGGGAGGGAGGAAGAGAGAGGGAGAGAGAGAGAGGGAGAGAGAGAGGGAGGGAGAGAGAGAGAGGGAGGGAGGGAGAGAGAGAGGTGTCTTTCCACTGATGTTTGGATCCACGTCCTTAAAGAAGAAGTGTTTGTGTGTGTGACTGAGAGAGAAGCTGACTGTTTCCAGTTTGAGGGGAAAATATAAATAGTTTTTATCTACAGGACTCATTATTAGAATATGAATGTAAAGGACACAGTAAATACTTCAAACTTTGGAGTTTGCAGTAAGTAAAAGTATCTACTCCATTTTATGCTGCTTTTGCTTTTTGTCACTATTTAACATTATCAAACACATTTTAATATCAGGCATAGATAATCAAACCATGAAAAAAAAAACTATTATCCCCTGAGCTAAATCATGAACTTACTGTAATTCACCAAATTTTATGGAAAACTAACAGTTACTAAGCAATGATTACTCCACTCTTTCATTTAGCAGTAATCGTTGGCAACACAAGAAGACAATGGTTTTAAGCACAGGGTGACTCTTTTATTGCTTACATTTATGGTGATTTCAGGACTTTCACAGCTTCATCTGGACAATAAAATAAGTTGATCATTCTGTGTCGCTGCAAAAAATCCAGGGAATATACCTTTATTTTTTTGTCATAAAATACGTTTCTAAGCCATTAAAGTTGATTACAATAATTATTATGCTTCTGATTAGTCAGCAAAACAAAAGTAGTGCAACAAAAGAGAGCTGTGACAGAGTGACGGAGTGATGGTGAAGTTTTCTTCCAGGATGTGAACCGTCTCCTCCTCCGCATCCTAATTAGACTCAGTCAAATCTGGGTCACTTCAAATTACCATTTCTGAATTATTGGGCTGGAAGTTTTCTGAGTACAGTTTTAAATTTTAACTAAGGGGGCCGGAGCGTGACATGTTTTAAAAAGAAGCTGAGTTGGCGGTGTTTTTTTGTTTTTGTTTTTGTGTGCGTGTATGTGTGTGTGCGTGCAGCTGTTTTGTTCACCCTCAACCATCTTCACCCTTTCCTAGTCGCTTCCGCTCCTCCTTCCCGTTTCTACTCGTCTCCACCTGGTGACATCAGCTTCTCCTCTCTGTCGTCTTCAGGCACAGCCCCTTCAGACAGCACAAGACCAAAGACAAACATGAGATAGACCGCATGACGCTGACCATGGTAAGCTGCAGATATCCCCTCATTACACAGTAGACCTCCTCTGTGTAAACATGCTATAATGCAGAAGGTGATAAAAGTCTGTGCTCAATTCCAAATGCATGTTTTTTGTTGGACGCTTATGAACAATCGATGTGAGGAAACTCCAGGGGAGCCATAACCAGGTTGATGTTTGTCCTTCAGATAGAAATGTTTCCGTCGTCCGTCTGTGTTTCTCATGAAAGGATGGCACTCTGTCACTGGGTCAGAAGCATTTCGTCTGCCTCCATGGCAGCTGAAGTGTGCAAATATGATTTGTACAGTGACAGTGCAGGGAGAAAACAGTGGCCTAATGGCTTTGAAGTGTCTCATTATGTAACATTTCTGTTAGAACCTAGATGAAGGTTCAAACAGAAATGTGACTGATTTCCTTTTTCTATCAAGTCTTAGCATTCTGCCTCTCGTTCCAGCCACAGACATGGGAGCAGCCATTTATGGTGAAAAAGTAATACGAATTTGATTCATCATTATTGTAAATTAAAAACAAAACTGACAACATGATCGGAAATGTTATTTTTGCTTTAACATGTTAAAATGTGAAAAAGCATAAGGGTTTTATATTTTACACTTTACATTGAAAAATTTAATTGGTGATATTTACACTTTTTTTTTTTCAATTCAACACAAAGAAATACATTGAAATGATTCGTTCCCTTCTATATGCTGCTGTTTGATGCTAAAATGGCTTCCAGTGTGCTGCTGTCTGAACAGGTGTAAACACATAACAGACACACAGCAAACATCAGAGTGGCGTTCAGATCCTTCTGATGCTACGTTCAGAGATGCTCTGGGAGTTTTTGTTACATCTGAAGGTCAGTAAGTCCAACGACCCGTCCGTGGAAGAAAGAGGAAGTCTGCGGAGGGTTTGTCGTCTTTTAACAAGCTGGATTCCAGTCCCAGCCTCGCTTGCAGCTGGAACTCGTTCACTTGCAGTATGACATCATTTCCTGCCCCTTGACTACTGAGGCAGATGGGACTGAGTATTAGCTGCTCCCCATGCTCCGTTTGTATCCTCGTATGAGCCCTGTTGTTTTGGACAATGACTCAAATGTGTTTAGATTAATCTTACTCAAAGGGAGAATCTAAAATTTGTATTTTTTCCCCTGTTTTGTTATATGCCATCATCGAAATAATGAAGCAAATGTACATCAAATATGTTGATCCATGTTCTGGTTTTTATGAATTAAAGGCATAAACAGGTTCATTTTTAGCCGTGATTTAAAGGAACTCTGTGTTTTGGCTCTTCTGCAGTTTTCTGGAAGTTTGTTCCAGTTTAGTGGAGCATTAAAACTGAATGCTGCTTTTTCTGCAAATATGTTCTACCCAAAACTCCTCAAGTGGCAGTTTCAGCTTTATCTGGTTTAAGCTCAGTAAAAGGAAATTTTACACTAAGCGCTATCAAATTATTAATAAAAAAAATATCAGATCAGCCCTATTATGTATTGATGTTAAGCTAAGCAGAAGGGGCTGAGCTTCATATGTTAATGGAAGTATTCCTTATCAGCAGATGCATGTTTTGCTACAAATGATGAAGCGCTCTCTAAACGAATGCTGTTACTGCATTCTTTTGACACTGTTATTTAAGAGGAATTGAATTGTTTGTATTTTAAGGTATTTTTTATTTATCGATATATAAAAAGTGGTTAACTGGCAGAATGTGGCAGTTTTTTTTACCTGATTAATTGATCAATCGTCAGTATAGTTAATAAAATAATCGATTACTAAAATAATAGTCGCGGCTGTAGAGCCAGTTTAAAAGAATTGTGTGAAAAAAGATTTTCTGCTTTTCCATTAACCATAGAATTATGTAAATATGAATTACAAAAATAAATTTGCATAATGGAAAAACTTATTTCAAAAAACGTTTTGCTCTAGGATGAGGTGGTTTTTTGACTGTATTGAAATTAGTGTGTTGTGCAAAACTACAATGGAAACACTTTTTCACATCGCAAGTCATGTGATCAACCGGATGATATTACTGGCAGAAAACATGAAGAAGACAGGAAGTGGTAGGATGGATCATGGTGCGGATCTGTTTTTTTTTTTTTTATGACTTGATGCGTGAACTTATTCACTTGTAATTTTAATTGATATTTAGTTGAAACAGAAATTGCGTTATTGTGTTTTTTTTTACATTAATGGAATATGGACCAAGTTTTGTGCACATTTGTAATGAAAACACAGCTAATGTACAATCACTGGCCAGATTCGCTGACAGAAATCCTCAACCATCCATGACTAAAGAACAATATGCGTGTGTGTGCGCAGCCTCTCGGAGGAATATGCTGCCTGGCCTTTTTGATGTCATGGGTCACGCTCAGGATGAATGACATCCATTGAGCCCACACTGTGACATGTGTGCTCTCGCCCACCTATCCTGGCCTGCCTCCTCCTCTCCATTCACACTGAACTCTGACGAGTTGAAGCGTCGCGGCAGCTCTGCCTGCGCCAGCTGCTGCGCATCTGAAATGCAACTCATCCAACTGTCTAAGTCCGTTTGTGTTACTTGTAAGGAATGGGAAGAGGGAACTGCACCCTCTCCCTTCTCTCTAGCAGAGCAAGATCTCTAAACAGACAAAGTCTAATCTTTCATATCACAATAAATCCAGATTAGGATTGGAATCCAGCCACTTAATCTGGTTTATCCTCTAATCCTACTCTGGGTGTGTAACAGAGATGACCGGCAGTGGCTCTGTGAAAGACTGCAGTCCAGCTCTAAAAGTCCACCCTAATGCATGTTTGTGTTTATTCAGCATGATGAATGACCTGGTTGCATGAACTCAGAGGAAGCAGAGATGGATGGAGCGGGTCCCAGTCGCTGGCACCTCTGCTCTCTCAAACATCTCCATGAACCAGCAGATAAAGGCCGTCAGCAGCAGACCAACATGCTGCTGCAGATCAACTGTTGGGCTGAGGAGACAATCTGGCTCCTCATAACCAGGTTGCAGCTCAGAGCAGTGCAGAAAGAAAATAAGTGACACTTTTTGTCTGTGGGACTATGACATGTATTCTGGATTTTGTAGCTTCTTTGACATGGACAGATGTTTCTACTGGGTCGATCGGCTCAAAGAGTAGCTCTTATCTACTTCCATCAGATGTCGATGTGCCCCTAGTTGCCTACAGATCTGCTCATTGGTGTGTGACTTTGTGTGTGTGCTGACTGGAAAAAAGGCTTTTAGTGGTCAGTAGGAGTGGTCATGCAAACATACAAACAATTATTGTTTGATTTGCAACACAGATCAGACCCTCACTTTTAATTGATTCAGTAAAATATTTTATGTAGCATATTTGACCAACTCTGTTGCTCTGGAGTATGCAGTGGAGCGGAGACACCTGCAGTGAATCCAGTCTGACAGAGAGGCGGATGTAGCAACAGCGCCCGCCTCCCTGGCCTTTACCACAGCGTGGAGACGTAACTGTACAACAGCACGTTATTCAATCATCTGACTGGTTTTTAGGTTTTTAGGTTTTCCCACAGTTTAAGGCCCTCCGGCTTCCTGTGCTGTAACACTTACACATCTCTGCTGTGACACACCTGAACCAAATAATTAGGCCAATATCAGGACTTTATGCTGATGATTCAGCCCATTTATTTAGGTGCAAGGCACCAGGGATGCAGCCGTCTGTGAGGACTGGAGCTCCAGTCCGTGCTGTAGATGTGCAGTAGTATTCAGATCTGAGCAGATCGCAGAGAACAGACTGTTCTGTAATGATTCATTCTTAGCCCTTCCTGGCTGCTCTCAGCTATGTGTGGCTTTTGGGTCATAATATGTGACTGACACTGAGCTTTCTGACTCTGGACATAGTTTTGGCTCTTGGATGAGATTTAATTAGGCCCTGCTCAGATCAAAGGTTCCCCTTACCAGATACAGCAAAACCTCTCCCAAACCAACCCAACTTGATTTCTGTGTCTCACTGTTGGTCTGGTTTACTGCAAAATCTCATTTCGTAGAGATGATGGGACTGACCATTGGAGGGACCTTGGAGTCCATCAGCACACATTCAAATGAATTCCAGACTGTATTTATTTAGTTTTTCTCGCAGGAGAGGAACCTATTCATCCTCTTCTTAACCAAGAGGAACCTGGTTAGTTTTGGATGGTTTTCTTGGCTCTTCTTCCACCATCCACACTATCCACCTGATCAATGTAGGGTTACATTTCCCACTATAACCCTGAGAGTTTGGCTGCTTTCTCCTGATTCTCCTGTTGGCAGCTTTGACCACAGAAACATGAAGCTCTTTGAAGATGATCTTGTTGCCATTTCCTTTAACATGGATATCTAGAATCATCTCTCTGAGCTCCTCAAACACAACTAGTCATTGCTTTCTCCAGTCCGGTCTCAGAATGGTGCACACAGTAATACAAATGTACCTAGTGGAAGTTTGTTAACTCTGTAGTGACTCTGGGCGGGTCGATCAGTCAACCTACTTATTTCACAGCAAAATTTGGCGGTTACAGACTTCCAGACCTTTGTGGAGGCAGATGAGGTCAGTTTCTCAGCCCAAGGTTAAAGAATTCAGGGCTGATTTATCAGGTCAGAAACATGAATGTAACTGCAGCACTAATAGTTTCTTTAGGGTACCTACAAATTTGTCAATACTATTTTAAAACATCTTTGTAGAAAACAACAACAACAAAGATATTTCCTTTCACTATGGGTGTAATGGTTAACTCTATCACAGACTAAAGTCAGTCAGATTAGATTGGTTTTGTATGAATCATGTTCTGTAGGAGCATTTATTTCAAAGAGTAAAAAGAGGACAAATACATTTATCCACGTCTATATTTCATAGAACCTATAAGTATCAACACACAGATGTGAACAAGTCAGCATAAATGGGGGGTTTGGTTTGTGAAGATGTCATCGTCTGTAAAGAACAACTCAGTCCATCAGCCTCAACTCAGCGGCCCGTTGAATTTCTTTAAAATGCAAACTGGACACCGTTACAGCGGCTATCTAAACAAATGTCCTGCTTAGAACGAAGATGCAGCTTGAACTCTGCAGTAATCCCATTTATCATTTGATTTTGGGAATCCACTGTTGCCTCTCTATAATCCACAGTAATGCTGCCTGAAGGATTAACTGCTCTAACACCTGTCTGACTCCCCAAGTGGGATGAAGAAAGATGTTGACAAAAATCAGTGAAAGAAACACAAGCGCAGCTGTTTGAGTTGAAACCAGATATTTACATACAGGCATATCCTTTTTGTCCCTCAGTGACATTAAATTAGACCATTTCCTCTTTTTTTATGCCAGCCAGGATTACTAAAGCTAACAAAGATATTCTTTGTAGGCATCATCTTTCTTTCTTTGAAGTCTGTACACTTAGGTAAGCAATTTAGCTAATCCCAGGAGATAATTTAATGTTGTTTAGCCTTTTGAAAGCAACACCTTGTATGAGTGACATCATGGAAGAATGAACTGAAATCAGAGCGATGTGGGAACCTCCATAAGTCAGGTTCAGGTTAACGGTCTCCAGATGCCTGATGGTAGCACATTCATCTGTTCAGCTGCAAGCTAGAGTGAATAAGTTGGGACTATTCAGTCATCATTATCCAATGAGACCAGTTCTGTGTCCCAGAGGTCATCTCAGGACATCAGGTGGGAAGATAAAAGCAGTTTAAAATGTACTGAGGAGATCTGTATACAATTTTTAATTTAAAAAAGAAAATAAATCTTGCTATTGTGCCAGTTAGTTATTATAAATAAAGTTGCCCTGTTGACCTACAACAGGAGAAGTTTAGCTTGATTTAATGTAAGACAATATGTATAAGTAGCAAAGTTTTATTCAAGAACCCTGAGGTCTCCTTGGGAGCAGATGGCTTGATGTTTTTTTTTCTCAAAAAATGGTAATAAGTGTAAATGATGCTGGTTTATCTTCAGATAATGTCTGACTGTTCCTTTCCCTCTCCTCCCTGCAGAATGTGGAGCTCCCAGACTCGTTCACCCCAGAGCTCAAGGATCTGCTGGAGGGGTTGCTGCAAAGAGACGTGTCCAAGCGGCTTGGTTGCCAGGGCCGGGGGTACGACAAAAACCCACATGAAATGTCTGTTCACATCAACGGCAGTATCTAGACAGACCCGGGGTGTCAAAACCTTTAGGTCGCATGGGCCAAAAATCTTCAGCTCAGAAATACAACACGACTACCAAAAAGTTGTTTTTTTCCCCCCCATTCAGCAATAACCTAAACATGAACCATGTTAATTAAACAAATATTCACTACTTTTTTTTATATAGGAACCAGATTGTAGAGCCACAATTTCAAATGTTTTCTTTGTTAAATTAAAGCCATTCAAGGACTCTGTAGAAAAAGACTGAAAAATATTTTCTGTTTTCAGCAATAAAAATATGATCTAGGTCTGCCTTCATTTGCTGTGTCCAGCCAAGTTTCAATACATCAATTAACAGCAGATTTGGCTGCACCAAGGTGTGCGTAAGTCAATGAGTAGATGTAGTTACCATGGCAATAGAAGAAAACCGGACAGCTTGGAAAAGATGATCACTTTGTGTTGCATCATTTGTAAGTAGATTTCAGTCATGAATGGCTGTTTACATTGTATCTAAGTGATTAATCTTTGATATAACTTATCAAAGATAAATCAAAGATGTGATAAAATATTAACCAAACAGTGAGGGGTGTACTCCCTTTTGTGGAACGCTGAGATGAGTAGATGAGTCGTGGTGCACTGAGTGATCTGATGGGTGAAGTCAGTGCTGTCATTTTACATCAGGGCCTTTTACAGACTGGATGAAGCCATCACAGACCAGCAATGTGGGCAACACTGCCACCTTGTGCTGAAGTGAGGCATCTGTTGTGTCTCCCTTCTAGAGCGCTAGAGGTGAAGGAGCATCAGTTTTTCAAAGGCATCGACTGGCAGCAGGTGTACCTGCAGAAGGTGAGTGAGCTCCGTCACGTTTCTGATGAGACCGAAGTTCATTCCCACTAAATATATGTGCGCTTTATGATTCTGGGCATTTTGTCCAGACAGAATGTGTATCTAGGCCAGAGTTGTCCAAACTTTATACTCTGTGGGCCAAACTTGCAAAGTTGAAAGCACTTTTTCCTAAAAATAATCATAATTAAAAAATAAAAAAAACTTAGCAACAAATAGAAAAACTTTTTTTTGAAAACCTTTGGCATATTTAGCTAAGTTTGAGTTAAAAGTTGCTGGATTTGGTGACTTTATCTATTATAATTTTCAGGGGTTTTTTGTTTTTGCTTTCATCTTGATAAAAGAAAATACATTTAGTACCCAACACTCTATTTAAGAACATATAAATTAAGCCAAGTTTATTTGTATAGCACATTTCAGCAACAAAGCAGTTCAAAATGCTTTATACCATTAAAAACACCATGTAGTAACCAGTTATGAAATAAGCAGCTAACATAACTTTCTGTCAAACGTCATCAAGCAAATTCACATCAAATATACTGATCAATGCTGCAGTTATTATGAATCCAAGGTGGGGTTTAGGTCTTATTTAAACAGACTCGTTGTTCCGGCAGTTTTTTTGTTTTTTTGAAGTTTGCTCCAGATTGGAGGATCAGAAGAATGAATGCTGCTTCTGCTTTACTAATCACTGATTACCTTCCAAAATGATGGAGCAAGTCCATCTGCATCAGGTCCGTTCGGTTTTCAGGGAGTCGCACTAAATTATCTCAACTCTTACGTTCTGTGTTTGTAGCTAAGATCTGGTCAGGTGGTTGTTTCTATGGTTACCACAGCACTACAGAGTTGTGGCCTTGTTGCTCTCTGTTTCTTCCTTAGCGTTATGTGATTGTTTCAGCTGACAGACGTCCCTCTGTTCTCCGCCCTGCAGTACCCCCCTCCTTTAATCCCGCCCAGGGGAGAGGTGAACGCCGCGGACGCTTTTGACATCGGCTCGTTTGATGAGGAGGACACCAAGGGCATCAAGGTAAAACAACTCCTGGAGCAGCCACACGCCTCATTTCTAATCCTCTTATCTTCCACTGCAGCTGCTGACGGGTCTTTGAGTGTCCCATAGTCGGACACAGCTTTTACATTTCAGAATCCCCTCCTCTTAGCTTCACCTGAAGCAAATAGATTGGAGAAAAACAGCCACTGCTACATGCAATGGTCTCTGAAACCTGAAGAGTTCTCAATTAACTGGCGAAGTAAAGAGTTTATTCATTAGTGAGCTCAAACTTTTGTTGTGCATCAGATAATTTTTAAATTCTCCAAATGAAAGACAACATATTTTTTAAGCAAATACGAGTTCAACTCCATAATAAATACTGACTGAATGATTTAATATGATGCATTTTTTATATTTGTAAACATGTCATTAGCTCAATCACTCAGTCAAGTTTATTTGTATAGAACATTTCAGAAACAAGGCAGTTTAAAGTAGTTTACATCATAAAAACATATAATAAAAACAGCATACAGTCATCAATTGAGAAACCATTAGCAGACATTGCATATTGTCGAGTGCCATCATAAATAAAACAGTGGTGATGACCTTTAATGCTAAATCAGCAGGAAGTAAATCAGGTTTTTGTCCCTGCTAACCAAGCAAACCTACAAAGTTAAACAGATAACTGTTAAAGACCAAGCTAGGCGCTAGAGGAAAGCAGCTGGATTCAGAGTCTGATGAATTGCTTGGCCCAGGCAGAGTCTCTGCTCTTTGTCTTTTTGTCCTGTTGTCATGGTGACATTGCTGCTCTGTCTTCTGTCTGCCTCCCTGCAGCTGCTGGACAGCGACCAGGAGCTCTACAAGAACTTCCCTCTGGTCATATCGGAGCGCTGGCAGCAGGAGGTGGCTGAGACGGTGTACGAGGCCGTCAACCTGGACACGGACAAGATAGAGGCTCGCAAGAGGGCCAAGAACAAGCAGCTGGGCCACGAGGAGGGTAAGACCGCCGGCCCGGAAACAGGCCCGTCACCATGACGATAAACTGTCCCAGAAATGATTGCGGTAAAGGATAATGTTGCTGTTTTCAAACCATTTTCAAGTAACATAGAGTTAATGATAAAATAATGCAAATACATCTTCTCAAAGATGAATAAACTTTATTTTCTAACAAATGTTTAACTCTAAAACTGGAAGACATTTTATAGATCCAAAACAAATGAACGATAAAAATGAATTATGACGTTGAGGCCAAAGCATCAGACTGAAAACATTTATCATCCAGTTTTAGGTAGTTAAGAGAGGATCAGTCATGCAAATGGAAATTATTGAATTCGTTTTAATTTATAATGCGATTAATTGATCTATTGCTTATTGTGACAGGCTTATCCAGAACACTTTGTGTTACCTTCTAACTGCATATGTGTGTGCGTGTGTGTGTGCGTGCGCAGACTATGCTTTTGGGAAGGACTGCATAATGCACGGCTACATGCTGAAGCTGGGCAACCCGTTCCTCACCCAGTGGCAGCGCCGCTACTTCTACCTGTTCCCCAACCGGGTGGAGTGGAGGGGAGAGGGCGAGTCGCGGGTAAGTGTGCAGTCACATCTCACTTCACGTTCCCACCATCTGTCTGTTCCGTCTCTCTCTATGTGTGTGTGTTTGTGTGTGTGTGAGAATCTCGTTTGTCTCTCTGCTTGTTTGTCCCGTCTCATCTCTGAAGGAAAAGTGGCTAAAGCCTTTAAAAATGGTAAAAGACAGGGTGAGTGTCTCTGCTGTCTGCTTCACCTCCCTGCTCTCCACCTGGCAGTACATGTTTCCTCCTCTTCCTCCTGCTGCAGCTAGATGAAGAGCAGCCTTCCCTTAGCGCTGCCCAGGAGCTCACTCTTCCCTTTACACAGCCTGTGGTGTCCCTAGACCAGTATGAAGAGAAATCCTCAATACCAGTTTTGATTAGGGCTGAAGCATTTAATCAGCTTCGTTGTAATTAATCTGTTATTGACATAATCGGTGATCGGCTAGAAAACTGTAGTTGGTGCGCCCTGTTTAAAATCTTAATGTTTCATGGATCCAACAGAATGTAAGGAGCTGGTTTGAGGCGAGGCATTCAGGAAACAATCGGCACAGGCATCAAAAAATGGCTGACGTTTCATGTTACCTCGTGTGTTACTCATCGACTTTTGTTCACAGCAAAACCTGCTGACCATGGAGCAGATCGTGTCGGTGGAAGAGACGCAGGTTAAAGACAAGAAGTGCATCCTGCTGCGCGTCAAGGGAGGGAAGCAGTTTGTCCTGCAGTGTGAGGTGGGTGGCTTCCTCGTTCTGTCCGTTCCAGCCAGCGACGTTTTGAGCCCTGCTGACCCGTTCCGTTGCGTTTCCCTCAGAGCGACCCAGAGTTTGTGCAGTGGAAGAAGGAGCTGAACGAGGCGTTCACAGAGGCCCAGAAGCTGCTGCGCCGCGCGCCCAAGGTGATCGGGAAAGGCCGAGCCGCTGTGGTGGAGCTCTCCAAACCGCCGCTCACACACCGCAACAGCAACGGCCTGTGAATAAAAGGAGCACATACCTTTCTATATCTATACACACACACACACGCACACACACACACTCACGCAAACATGTAGACGCATACACTCTGCACACCACGTCATTTCTGCAAGACATCAGCCCCAACTTCATGGCGACGCCTCACAGTGTGTGTGGACCTGCCGGCCCCTTACCCACACACTCACACCCACATACACACACACACACACACACGCACACACACCATCAGAGGAGGTTCACCGGTTTCTTTTCCGTTTCATCTACGGGACTCTGCCAGTCATGGAGAGGAGAGGCGGGGTGGACTGGAGGAGAGCAGAACCCTCTGCATGGATGTGACGAGGATTTGTTGAACCAGTTCTCCACCTTCCCCGGCTCTCCTTCATCAACCCGCACCCTCAAGGTCACCCCTCCTCACTTAACCCGGATCTCTTGGAAGAATCTGAATAATGACTGCGAAACGAAATGGAGTTTTAAGCGTCAGATACAGCAGGAGGTCCAATCAGAGAGAATTCCTCTTTCCGAGGCGATGCAGAAGGGGCGGGGCTACTGCGGGGAATGTAAAAACAAATCTGCTGCTTGACTGTATCCTGTTCCCCCCATTCCTCTTACCACCAACCCCTCCTCTCTGTTACTGAAGTGTGCAAAGTGCCAACATGGATATTTTACTTGAGTCACCTGTGTGGCCGGTGGGAGCCCCCCGTCCCTCCGGACCCTCTCACGGTGTTTGTTGGCGGCCGATTTATCATTCCAGTCCTGAAAAACAAGAGGACCAACAGACTCTTTTCAGATTGGCTCCTGTTTCCAGCCAGTTTCCATGGCGACCGAGATTCCATTGGCTGTCAAACAGCAACGGGTTGCCATGGGAACTGTGAAGACCAATGTACCTGAGGATGGGTAACCGTGGACGATGACGTGTGTTAGGCTTGCAGGGGGGGCGGGGCATGTTCAGTGTATATAAACAACCCTTTCTCTGTGCAGCCCATGTTTTGGTCCAGTGTGTTTGCATTGTCGGAGGACCTCTCTGTCTGCCTGTCCAAAAACCTCGCAAGACTTTACCCCAACACAGGAGGACGGGGATGTTCTCTCTCTTTCTGCAGAGTGTGTGAGGGCGTAAGGTGTGTGTAGAAGAGCAGGTGTTGGTGCTGCGTTACCTCTGCTGGGCTGTTTCCAGATGAAGCCACACACATTCTTGTGGCTTTGCAGGTTCAGCATGTGATCGTTGTCAGAGTGAGCACAAGTTAGACGAGGACGAGCTGAAGCTGAGAGAACGTTTTACAAACAACCTTTGGTTTTCTTTTATTTTTCTGGCTTTTGCTCTTTGACCGCCGAAGGCGCCTGGAGGACCAATCCCAACCTGCCAATAACAACATATCCAGCTCTCAAATATTAGGTTCAAGAATTTTTAGCAATATTTTTGGTAAAGCTACAAATTCCCTTTTTTGTTTTGTTTTCCACAGTGGTATAAAAGTTTCAGTTTTAAGGAATTTGTAATTGGTTTAGTAAATATCAGTCCAGGTTTGGCAAAACCGCTATGGTTTAATAAGAACCGCTATAGAAGTGAAAATGCTCCCTTTCCTGGTTATCACAAACAAAATAAAGGTTTCAGAAATCGCATTGTGTAGAATTATCATGTTTAGGTTCAGCCCAAGTATTGGACAAAGAAAAAGAAGTCGGACGCTATCCAGGCTACCTTAAAAAACTGAAATAGCCATCTGTAAGAAGCATTAACATCTAATAGTGCTAGTAATGCTAAATTTACCAACGTTAGCCGCTAATGATGCTTGCAACTGATTATGCTAACTTTAACAACATTAGCCATTAATATTTCTTGAGGTGTCTGATGCTATCTCGAGCAATATTAGGAGCTAATGACACTCCCCAACAATAATGCGGTAACACTTTATTTGAAGGGGGTTGAATAAGACTGACATGACACTGTCATAAACATGACATAACACCTGTCATGAACATGAATAAGCTCATGAATATTTATGACTGTTGTCATAAAGCGTCATTCGGTAAATTATGACACTTTTAATACAAAGCTGACATTATTCAAAATGTCTGTCTTGTTATGACAACTTGACATTAACCAAGAAATCATTACTGATATAAATTTGTTATAAAAGTATTACTGATTGCACTTTAAAAATTAGGTAACTTTATGTTATTAAAGGTAAAGTTTAAACAGTAATGATTTCCTGGTTAATGTCACGTTGTCATAACAAAGACATTTTGAATAATGTCAACTTTGTATTAAAAGATGACAACAGTCATAAATATTCATGAAGGCTTATTCATGTGCATGACAGGTGTTATGTCATCTTTATGATGATGTCATGACAGTCTTATTCACCCCCCTTCAAATAAAGTGTTACCAATAATGCTAACTTTAACATTAGCCACTAATGCTAACGAATTATTAGCTGCTTGTGACTAATAATTCTAACTTTACCAATGTTAGCTCACAATGTTGCTTGCGGTTAATGATGCTAACTTTTCCAACTTTAGCAGTTAATGATGCTTGTAGCTAATAATGCTAACTTTAGCATTTTCAGCTCCCAACTTTACTCCCTTTAGCATCATTAGCAGCTAGCAGTTTTCCAGTTGCAGTTTTCTATTGAATTTCCAAAAGGCTTCCACATAAGCTATTTAAAAGTGCTGCCAGCCTCTATAGTTCTGACAGCGAGCCAAAAAAACTCTTTCTTAGCCAACTCTCTGTCAACACACGGCCACTCAAGTACTACTTCCTTTCTCACTACAAAATAAGAGTCTCCAACATAGCAGGGTCTCATGTTTTGCTTAAATGAGGAATATTCTGTTTTGACCAAATCTCGTGGCCAAAAGTCAGAATTTTTTTTTCCAGTAATTGAAAGCACACATTCATTCTGCTAATCCACTTGAGAGATAACACTCTTCCGTGTAGAAGTTGTTACACACCTGGTCAGTAACATAAATGTTATGCTGCTTTGTTGACTTGTTCAGTTTGTTTGTGCAAACCAACTGACTGAAATAGAGCCTTTTCTCAGGTCCAACTGGGACAAAGTCAAAGTTAGACTTTTCACATTTCTGTCTGTAATTTTCATCCTCTGTATTCCACTTAAAAACATTCAATGTTTGAAAATGTTCACCTAATTTCATTCCATTTTAATATGCATCAGCTGCATGTCCTAATTATATATAAAGCACAGGGAATCTTTTCTTTCTGAAATGCTGCACGCCATTTTTAAAAGCTCCTTCAGTTTGACTTTATTGTTGCCATATCTGGAGCAAAGGTGAGAGACGAAGCTAGCTCAGCTCATCCAGTCAGCTTTAAATCATGTCACGTTTAAGACAGAAAGCCGAACACATCAGCTGTCTGTTCAGCTCCCGTTCATTAGTGTTTTGTGTTTTTCATGACCCGGTTCGGTCGGGGCTGAAACATGTCGAGCACCGGGGCGTTTACGGGACGGGTTGTTGCACAGCCGCAGTGTTACAGGATGTGCAACGGAAGGAGAAATCTATTGTAATTTCAGGGTTTTCATTTTTTTATGCAGTACAATGTCCTTGTTGCAGAACTTAAATGCAAAAAGCTTCAGTAGAAAAAAGGGTTGATTTGGGTAAATTGCTTTTTTTCCCTCTTTTTCTTGATGACCTTTTTTTTCTCGTCAGGGGGAAATCTTATCATGTTGTAGAGATTTTTGCCACCTCTTAAGGTGTCTTTTATTTTTATAAACCAAAATGGTTTTTATTGTTTTCATTGAAAGTTATGTTATTGCACCTTTTTAGCCCAATGTGTTACTTACCAGTTGTTAAATGTGCCAAATAACTTTTTATGTTTAAATTTTTGTTGTTGTTGAAATGAACGAGTGGAACTAACCGGAAGTTGGACGTTTGCTTCTCGTCACGGACGCGTCAGCAGCCAAAACGATTGAAAATCCACTCTCACAGACTTTTTAAGGAGGAGGTTTTGTTGGAAGGGTACAAAACTGTGACCAAACGTTTCTCCACTGGTGTTTGTGTGTGTGTGTGTGTGTGTGCGTGTGTGTGTGTTGCTGCGGGGGATTCTGAAAACACACACCACCCGGTTCCGTGTACTTGTTCCTGAAAGTTTTTCTCTCTCTCTCCTCCACACTGTGTGTAAGTCGTGAGTATTGGGAGATACGTGAGCCTCATTAACGCCTCGTATCGCCATCCGGTGGACGTTTTACTTTCTTTCTACATCACTCACAGATTTCTCTCCCTCGGACACACGCTCAACACGATTTTAAAAAAGGACAGCATATAGGAAAAAAAATATATATAGTATATATAAATATATGTGTATATGAAATGACAAAACGCTCTAGGTTTATTTAAAAGATTTAATGTAGAAAACAAAATGAACTTGTCGAGGGGAGGTCGGGGATGTTGATGTGAGTATAATTGTTTGTGGTGATGACTTCAGCTTGAATCTTGCACATAAAAAGACTTATTAGAGATAACATCTGCGAGTTCCAGATGATTATTTTTGTTCAGACACCAGACTCTGTGCTTTTTTTCATATTTATTGTGTGCATGGGGAGCCGGGAGCCGGCGTCTCTCCTCCACACGTCGGAGCTTTTCGGCCGAGGGCTTACTGTAGAAAACCCCTCCAGTTTACACCCGTCTGAAACTCTTCTCGTTTTCACACGCCACAAACACAAATACTACTGCTTTTGGGTTATTCAAATTAAGGTAAAAGAAGAAAAAAAAATACTATCTGATGATGATATTATTCAGTGAATATTCTAAAGTTTATTTTATTTCAACGATTCTTTTTGTTTTTGAGATAGAAAGTTGCGTGTTGGACTGCTTGTAAGAACAGTTCAAGAATAAAAACAACTTTTTCTGTGTTGCCTCTTGTCATTTTGCATTTATTTTGTATTTGACTCATTAATTCAAAGGTCTTTGTGTCTCTTCTTCATGGTCGCCATGCCTACTAATCAACAAAAGTGTATTTCATATATTGGTGTCCTCTCAGGGAGGCCTGGTCAAACAGCACGGTGGGTCGGGTTGCCTTGTAGTGTCGGTGGCAGATTTGCTCTCCAAGAGGTGGAAATTTTAACTTGATCTCAAATTTGTTATAAAAAAAACTGAAGCTGGTATATACAATCAAAACACAGAGAATTATATATTCCAAGTGTGTGTTTATGTAATTTTGAAGATTGTGTTTGACAACTAATGAAAAGTACATCAAACATAATTAAAGGGGCAGTGTTGTGTGTTTTCCAGGCACATAGCTCCATTTTGTAGCACAATGAAATAACTGTTACTTTCAGTTGTTTATATAAAAAAAAAGCATAATCAAATATGACTTAAAAGAAATTTGACTTCCTGATTTAATGCCTTGAAATTGGGCCTCTGTCTCTAACTCCTGCTTTTTCTGAAACTCCAGCTTCAGGATGACATCACAACATGGCTCCTCTATTAAACCTTTAATATTTTTACCAGTGTTGCTCTTAGAAGTATCTCCTATAATGAGCTCAGCTGATGTGCAGTTCCACCAGGTGTTTGCTGATTGCTGCTGGCTAGTCTGAAGGAGCTGAGTGGAAGAGCGTCGTCCTCAAAGGCAGAGCTAGGGTCCACCCAGGTGTTTTGCACCGCTGAATGGTTGCCACGGGAGACTCAAGAACTTCTCCAACATGCGTGAAGAAATTAAAGCAATACTCCAGGTATGTTTTTAATGAGGGAATTGTTTTAAAATATGATATAAAGTTTCATAATACTGCCCCTCTAAAGAACTTTTTATTCCAGATTATGGACCGGCTAAAAAAGAATATCCATGTACCGAAACCTCAATACTTTGTGACTGAAGTACTTGATCTGGGCGTGGCTAGAAGGTGACTGACCCAGATTGCTTTGATGCTGGCATTAAGCTCGGCTGCTTGGTTTCCTGTGTGCCTCAGCTTTCCTTTAGGACATTCAGATCAGTTTGGAAAGCAATCAATCACGGTTCAATCAATTTCCAGAGCTGGATAAGAGTGGTAAAGGAAAATGAAGTATGAAAAACATATATGTTTCCCCCACTTTTCTCAGTAGATTCTGCTTGATTGGGGACCAAAATTGTAACATTTGTTACATTTCCAGCTGCTCTGGTTCGTGTTCACATTGCACTGTGTTAAACAATCCAAACTATTGAAAAACTTGTTTCTCTCCTCTCCTGTGGTGGCGTTGCACCAAAAACCGCTGAAGAAAACGACACAAAAACCTCTGAGCAAAACTTCCTTCTTCATGAAATGTAAACGAAGCATGGAGTGACGTTGGATTATAGTTGTAGGATTGCTTGATTATCTTTAATAAAAGAACATCGCTACTTTCTAGCTCTAACACGTTTGTTTTGGCTGTATTTACCCAGAATGCCCTGCGCTGTCCTCTTCCTGAACTTGTTTTATCATTTCATTTCCAAAAAGCGGTCTCCGTCCGCTTGGCATTCACATAAGCATTTGAATCACACCAGATCCCCTTAAACCGAACCAAGACTGAGGTTTTTATACAGGGAAGAGTTCACTGTTCTTTAGTTAGATTACACATTCACACCTCCACATCGAACCAGACTTTCTAAATAAACGGTTTGGAGGCAGATTAAAGCAGACTCAACAGGGCTGGTGTGAGTTCACCCTATAACAGCTATATTTCTGTCTTCTTGTTGCAGCTAGCTGTGCTGCAGTGCTAACAATAGGGTGTGCTTAGTTTGCTTGTCTGGTAAAATAGTCTTACAACAAGCAACAGGATCTCTGTCAGTGGGAGATTACAAATCACACACAACTCAACAGTCAACCGCAAAGCCAAAAGGCTTCTCTCTTTTCTTAAATCTGTTCGGTGAACAAATAATAAATCACAAAGGGGAGCAATCGTTTCCCTCCTGGAAGCCGGGCAGGTCACAGCAAACATGTTGGAAACATTAACAGCAGAGAAAATAGCGACTCGTATGAAAGTCGGTGATAACCGGTTCGACCGGCTCCTGTTGTAATAACTGATCAGTGTTTTTTTTTTCTACTTGTTTTGTCTCCTCCTCCCAGAAATCAGCAGGCTCCTCCCCTTCATTCCTTCCCCCTCCCCCACCTGTAGCTGTCAGTCACAGCAGACAGCTAATGAGTTGCAGATCTGCACATGTGCGGTCGTGTCCTGTCAGGGATCCGCCGGGCGGCCATCATTCCCCTCCCATCAGGTGACCTGTCAGCCTCTGTCACATCATTTAGCAGAACTCACAGGTTCCGTCTCTAAAGCCGCTCAGGCAGGACGGAGGGGAGGGGTTGATATTAACTTTTTGTGTGGTTGATTGGTCATATTTTCTTTGATCTCCTCACCTAAGACTCAAAGTGTTTCAATAATTGATGCAGACAATAAGAAGTGACTTTTCTAGGCAGTTTGTCTCCCTAAATCGTGTTTTCCTGAGGATCCATGTCAGCCAGTTGTCCAAACAGGGTTGTATCCCCTTCCTCCACCCACCCAGCGCCTGCTGATATTTATAGAGTGTCCTGCCAGCCGTTATGTGCTGCTTCTTTAAGTGTGTGTGTGTGTGTGTGTGTGTGTTACTCTATTTCTGGTCCTATTGCTACATGCCCCCCTCGTTCAGTCATACCCAGTGTAAGTCTGTGGTGGTCTGTGTGACAGCAGGACGTTTTTATTTGGCCCTCCCCGGATCCACCGCCGGCCTTCTGGATCTCTAAGAAGCTTCTTCAGAAGGTCTCCAGCCCCGTGTTCCCTCTGCCTGCCTGGTGTTCACACACAACTGGAGGTAAAGAAATGTTTGAGTTTTATGGAAAGAAAGAGAGATAGACGTTAAAACCCGGGACTGGAATTTTCCTCCTGGAGTCGATTCGGAGCGTGGTTCTGGGGTCAACTGGTGCGGCCCTCTCTCAGGGTGTGAGAGACAAACTGACTGAAGCCACTAGATTTGGATTTGAAATAGTAAATAATAAATAAGAATGAAAGCTTCCAGATCAGGGGTCTGCAGCCTGCGGCTCCGGAGCCACAAGTGGCTCTTTGGACCTTCCACTATGACTGTTAATAACTTTGGCTTAAAACCCCCCCCCAAAAAACAGCTAATATTTTAACTTTAGTTTTTACTGACAAACGTAGTTTTTTAGTTTTGCAGTTTACACATGTAATATTTGCACTGAATTTCTACAAAGAATGACACTAAAAGAGCCAGAGATACGTTTCTAGATCTGATTTTTACGTAAAGGGTCATTGGAAGTAGAAAAGAAAAAATAGAGTACATTTCTGCCAAAAAAAACTTCTAGAAAAAAGAACATTTCTGAGTGACAAAAGACAAGAATGTAACATTATTGATTCTTAAAAATTTTCTTATTTTTTCAAGAAAGTTTTTAAAATTAATCTCAAAATTTCACACAAATTTCACATTTTGGAACTCAGACATTTCCTTTTTTTTTTTTTTGGTGAAATATATTCCCTCTTAAAAAAAAAAAAAAAAGTACTCCCTCACCTTAATGCGCCCTCTAATGAGCCGCCGTAGGTTTCCTCTTCATTAGGTTGGAATCTAAGTGGTTTCTTTTAATTTATCACATTTTCTGTCCCACTGAAAAAAAGATCCATCTTTTTTTTTTTTTTTTTAAAGTTTGTCTTTATCTTTATTTTAAATCCTAATATAAATAAATGGCAGCTCTTTAAAATGACAAAAATGACCTATAGTATATATTTATCTAAAAGCCGTCTTGTCAAAAAGACTTTCAACATTTGCGGTTCTAGGTGAGTTTTTTGGCCGTCCTGACAGTAACAGAGTCTCTTCTGGTCCCGATGGTTTGGTTGGAAATACTGAGATTTACTGCTGAGTTGCATAAACTAGTCATTCATTCACTGGTTCATAATTAACTCACAGCTAAGTAAGCAACTTTGATTTAGAAACTGAACATGTTTATTTCAATTTAATTCAAAAATACTTTATTTATCCCAAAGGGAAATATTGTCAAAAAATTCACGAGTTCTTGTGGATGGTCATGCTGTGTTCAGGAAGGCTGTCCAGTAGCAGTCAGTATTGCAGCGCACCTGAAGAGGCCTCTGACTGAAGACACTGTCACGTAGCAGCATGACTGTCATCCATGACTGTCTTGACATGCGAGCAGCTCAGTGTCCGGGCAGCTAAGACGTTTTCACAGCAGCATGTCCTCCATGACTCCATCATAGCTAGCATAGCTAATCCACCTCTTCTGTTTGTGCCTCTGATATGTTAAAATGGGAGTTTCTGAGCAGAGTGAAAACACTGCAGCAGCTCAGTGGAAGTTTTCCAGTTAGCCGTCTTGAAAATGTTTGAAAGCGACTTTAACACTTTTTTGTGACTTCAACAGTTTTTTATTTATTTATTTATTTAGTTGTTCTTGTTATTTTATTTCATATCACTAAGGGAAGCTGCAGAACACCAAAGCATTTTATGCGTTTCAGACTTTTTTGAGTTTTTTTTATATATAAAATTAAATAATTTAAATTCATGTTAAGAGTCTTCAATGACTCTTTTGCTGTTTTCTTGCTCATTGTAGTCATGTTAGCCTTGTAACATGGAGCCTCTTCATGTGAGCTGAACTCTATAAGTCATCAGATTGTTCTCAGACTGTTTCTAGGAGCTGCTCTCCGTCCTGTAGAACGCTCAGTGTTGGATCAGAAGCAGCTCCTCACATGGACCAGCGTGTCGCCAAGCTACGCTGCTGCTCTCAGCTTCTCTTTTCTGGACAGATAACTTGATAACTTGAGTGAAAATTTATCAGAGAAAATATCTTTGCTGACTTTTCCTGCCTGCAGAACTCGTCTCCTTCTGGATGTTTGTTTCTCAGACAGAAGCGGCTCCTTTGCTGCTCTTTGTGTCGCTAAGAGCAGCGACACAAGGCTTTGTTCTCTTCCAAACACCTGATTGATTGTGAGACTTCCTACATTACTTGACATTATGAAGAACTAAATTGATTTTTTTGTGGATTTTTCAGTTTGATCATGATCAATTGATTGATTTTGGTCATGGAAAAACTGGAAGGAAAGCGCAGAGAAACAGAAAAAGACAAAGCAAAAAGAAGTTGCAACGTAATTTAGCAAAAAAAAAAAAGGAATCTTAGAATCAGGATGAGAAAATGGTTTCTTCAAAAAAAAAAGAGACTGAAAGCGACTCAAACCTCTCAGCCACATCAAACCTGAATCCCTGTGATGGGTTTGTTTGTTTGCACATCTTCCCTCCTTTTTAACTGCTTCTTCCCAATGATAGGTTGTCTCACACACACACCACCACTGGCTGACCTCACCGTGACCCCTCCTCCCCACGACCACCGCCACACCCCCCTGAGCCCCGCCCTCCTCCTCGGAGCAACTATGGCGTTGTCTTCCCGCTTAAAGCTGTGGGAGCAGAAGGGAGGTGCAGGAGGGCTGCATGCTGTGTTGATTCTAGTCGCTGCCTATGTGTGTGTGGATGTGTGTGTGTGATGAAGTGTTGATTACACAGTCAGTGGCAGCCTGTGTTCTGATCCTGAGTCACTGTGGCATGTCATTGTGCAGTTCCAGTGTTTTAGTCATCCTGCATGTATCAGATGGTCATTTATAGCGTCTTAGCTCTGCTCAGCAACATGTGGAGGACAGGAAGTGGGTCTCTGGCTGCTTCAGCCATGAAAACACAGTAAAGGTTCTTTAACGCCCAAGCTGGACGTTTTCCTTGGTGACGACCAGGAGCATAGAGTCGGGCTAACGACTACAGAGAAACTGTCAGGAGGGTTTGACCAGGCGCTCAGGGTTGCCAGATCTGACTGACATTTTCCAGCCCAAACAGAGAGTAGAACCCGACCAACTCCACAAGACCCAACCCAGACCTCAAGCTTCAGTAGAGCTCATGTTATCCAGACCTTCACCTTTTTAATCATTGTAACATTGTTTTTAAATGTGAATCTGCATCAACTGCCTGAACTGGCAAACTAAATTTAGGCTGTACTTAAACTGCCAGCCTAGAGTCATACCAAGGGCCTCAAATGGCCCCTGCGCCTCACTTTAGACACCCCTGTTCTATATATTACCTATATATTTTAGATTAAGTTAAAAACAGGAACTAGCAGGCTTCTTTTTTCACTTAATTTAACGTTGCTAATGTCCTTTACTGTAGAAAATAATAAATAGTTTTATATAGAAGTTTGACTGAATGGAATTAAGTACCTAATCATGTGTGTATATGTTTGTGTGTGAATAAACACGTGATCATTTTACAGAATGTAGAAATAATAATCCCAATAGATTGTGTAAAGGGAAAGTGTAAATATTTTTAGTTTTGTTAAAGGTTAGTATTTTCCTGTTATGTAGATGTGATTCTGTTGGACCTCAGTAGGAAAAGTCGTGGTTCTTCTGAAGCTAATGAGGATCTTAAATAAAAACAAAGAAAATCTGAATTTATTTCAGAACCAATTTCCTTTGGATGCTTTTCCTAAAGCTAAATTTAGAGCTTTAAGTACTAAATTACTTAAAGCGTATTTTAAGCGCTCTCTCTACAAGAGAGCGCTTAAAATACATTTCATCAGGCTGCTGGAGCTCTGGCATACTGGTCAGCCAAACGCTTTATCTGCAGGCTGCTGGTCACTCAGAGCGCCGGGCCGGCAGGTCCACAGGCCCTGAGGATGTTTTCTAGAAGTCGCACTGAATAACAAAAAGTATAAATGTGTGATGCAGCATATTTTGGTGTTGATTAACACAGGGCCAGTATCGTCCACATTTCAGCTTCATTATCATCAATCTTCTGTGTTTTTGTAGTTTATCTTTGAAGTATTTTTCCATTTAGACAAAGATGGTGAAATATTTTAATTACATATTTACATGACAAACAGAAATAATAGAATAAACAACTCAAATTTGACAAAACAAACATTTCAAAACAAATGAAGCTAAAATATCGATCTTCTCGTTCCAGTATGGATCTGATAGCAGGTATTGATATCTGGGATGGATCTGCTCGCCTCAGAGTGGCTCTCTGGAGTTTTCACAGTGGCTTTCAGTAACTTTGGCTGAAAGTCATAAAGAACCAACTAATGTTTTTAAAGTTAGATATAACAACAAATTGACATTTTGTCAGTCTTTTCACTTATTTTATTGAATTATGTCACTGAATCTTCACAACAAAATGACACCAAAGGTACCAGTAAAATGTTCTAGATCTATTTTGTCTTTATTTCAATGCTGGAAACGTAATGTAAAAATAAGATTTAAAAAAAGCATAATTTCCCACAAATCAAACCCTGATATGGACGATAATGAATCAAGCCTCTTTTTGCAAAAGTTTTATGTTCTTCTTTATTTTAAACCATAACAAAGGGGGGAAAAATCCTTCTATTTAATGATTAAAACAAATTTTCAGTAGCAGATCTTTTTCTTTTTCAAAAATGTTATTTAAGGCAACTTGAAACAAGTTTGATTTGCTGATTCCTGTTAGATAAATACCGTCATATTTATATTTTAAATTTTCTTGTGTTAAATGTAATACTTACAAATACTTCATAATGTTACCCTTAATTGTGTGGAAGATATTTAAACGCAGCAAATTTGATAGACTGTGGAAAACTATTCATGTATCAGTGATTCATCAGTGCTATGAATAAAACTGATCAGTCTCAACATCTATTGATGATCAAACTGCAGGATGAAGAACATTAATCATGGAGCTTATTACACATTTTCATTCATGGAACAATAAAACTGTCTATTATGCCTAAATATATTTATTTACAATCAAGTTGATTACACCTAATCAGAGATTATGATAATATTCACACTAATGTCTACTTCCAAATGATTTCATTGAACAACAGAAGAAGAAAGTTCAGTCTTTGAAAAAAAAAAAAAAAAAAAAAAAACTTTTAATGGCAACAAACGTTTGAAGTATGAATTTTGACTTGGAGACTAAAAGACGGTTGCGTATGTAGTTTAATATTTCTGTTATACTTTATTGTTTTTGATTGTTTTATGTTTTTTTGAGATATTTCAAATGTTTTCCAGTTCTACTGTTAAGTTTTCTTTGCCAAATTAAAGTTGAGAGAGAGTAAACTCGCATAATTATGCTGTACCGTTATTTTTATTATTTAGTGTCAAAACAACGATATTATCGTTTATGGCTATAATTTCTGGGTCAGTTTGTTATGACAGGCCTGGTCATGATGAAAAGACTGTGGAACAAAATGATGGAAGTGATTAAATATGTGTGACGCGTCGGATCTGAAAAATGCAACAAGAAATACTTTGGATCAATAAGTCATGCTTCCCTCTCCTATAAAAATATGAATGATGTATTTGTCCACATGGATCTGATCTGAGTTTAGGGCTTTTTTTCAACAGTGACTCTATCAGCCGTTAGTTTAGGCAGAAGGTCAAGTCTTGGTAGATGTGCAGATATTTCTTTCTGTCTGTTTGGTGACTTTCTGTCAAATATTGCATGAATGCATCTCATGTGATGAAACTTCAGCATGAAATCACAATGACTTCCTGTTTTTATCAAATTCTGCGTGGTTCCTTTTAATTCCTACAACTCCAGATAAAGGAGGAGAACAAGCCGGCGGCCGCCACCATCCCTCCACCGCCGCTGTCCGTCCTGCCTGGAGGCATCCTGAAGCAACTGGTCAGAGACTCAGAGAAAGAGACCAAACATAAGGAGCCAGAGGTCAAAGAGGTCAAAGACGAGAGAACAGTAAGCAGATGACTAGTTAGTTAATGCTCCCTCAGAACACTCAGATACAACAAACTTAACAGCATTAAACACATTTGCTTATTTGCAATTGATTATTTTGTGAGTTGAGTTTCTTGGGTTTATTGGTTCAGAAAATCTGAGCCAAATGAAACAAAACTTGAAGCACCTTGAGATCGCAATAAAATAAAACTTTTGTTTTTACTAAACCTCATGTTTCAGCAGGTAAAGAAAAGAGAAAACAACTGGACTGAATTTGACGCCGATAATCACAGCATGCCGATTGGTAGATTGTAAAAGTGGGCGGGACTTTATGAGCTAAATCGTAAACTGTCTCAGTTATCAGACATTTGCAGGTTTCACATGTGGCGTTCCTCCATTCTTAGACCACTAAACACCTGCAGTCCACTTCTAATCATACATTAGTCTCAGTACAAGATGCTTTCAATGCCTCTATTGTTGACTATGACTTTACACTGATAATCACGTATACTTTCTGAATAGGCTTCTGTGTGTCCATCACAATGTTCTGCAGCATAATGGAGAAAACCTGATGATCTGGTTCTTCCACAGTGACTCTTAATCCCATTGACTAAAACGATAAAGAACCAGTTAATGTTTTTAAATGCAGATACAATAACAACTTCAGGTTTTTAATTCCTTGTTGGTTATGGAATCATTGGACTGATTCCATAACCTTCTTCTGATGATTTATAGATCATTTTCTGATGATCTATAGATCATCTTCTGATGATCTATAGATCCATGTTTAGGTGGGAAGCACTGTCATTTTTCTTTATTTTCCACAAACATCAACATCCCACAGGAAAAAAAACTTTTATGTTTTCCTTATTTTCAAACCTAAAATTAGAGTTAAAACAGTGCCTCCTTCAAAACGAAGGATGTATTTTGTCCAGAAGGACAAAATACATCAAATTCAAAATCAAAAATACTTTATTAATCCCAAAGGCAAATTAAACATTGTAACTCATTAATTCTTCAAAGAGTTATTGTAGGTTGTGTTGGCAATGTCAGCTCTCCTGACATTGAGACGCTAAATGAGTTCAGTTTCATGGACTGAGGGAGAAAATGGCTCCTGGATTGTAAATGTTGCAGATTGCTGCATTAGACTCAGAGCATTTCTGAAACCTGGCAGTAGTTATGAACTACTGACTAATTCAGCCTTCATTCTTGTCAAATAAGAACAATAATGTAAAAAAAAAAAAGAAAAATCAATGAAAAACACCCACATGTTGCATCATTTTAAGTGTCAATCACAGGAGTGTTTGAAGTTGTGTTTTCCTGCCTTATTCTTTATGTCGTGTGTTTCAGTCCATTTGATGCATTTGTTTCTCTAAAGCTCCTTTATGTGCCTCATGTATGACAAATTTCCTTGAGGCCTTGAGGTTTTGTTGCCATATCCAAATAAATCATCATCATCATCATCATCATCATCATCATCATCAACATCTCTTCATTTCTCTCCTCATTCAGCCACACAAACTGAGCGACAACCTGGTGCAGCAGTTCCTGGTCCCGGATCAGACTCCTCCAATCCTGGAGGCCGAGATGGCTCTGCGGGCCGAACAGGTCAGCAACAGCAAACAGAAACGGTCCGACTCCGTCCAGTCGGACGGCGGCCCGCCATCCCAGCGCCACATTATGACTCCGGAGTCCGATGGTCAGACGCTCTCACCGGAGCCCCCAAAACAAAACCAGCGACAGGAAAAGAAGCAAGAGGTGGTGAGCAGGAAGAAGCTGCAGCCTGAGCCGAACAAAAGGAGGACGGACGACCGGAAGCTGGTGGAGACCAACCAGAACGGGATTGAGGAGAGACAGGAGCCGGAGGGGAGGCAAGCTGACGCAACCGTACCGGAGCAGAACGGGAAGGAGGTGTGTCTGTTCATTACACCTTTTAGAAATGAATATTTTATGGTTTGATTTAGTCCCTAATTCACACCTGGTGGAGGCGCCATCACTACTAAGTTAAACGCGAGCCAGAGGCGTTCAAATGTTTTGAACCAAGGGCCAAAATCCCAAAGCTTAAAATCCTCGGGGGCCAAAATCAGCTTTTTCTCTGCATGTATGATTGCAAATAATAATAAAATTGTGAATTATTTTTACTTTTCCTGCACAGCAATAAATCAAACAACTAATATTTTCATTAGTATGAGATTTGCCTTACAGCTATTTCACTTTTTGGGCCAGTTATTAGTTTTTTTTATTGGTCTTTGAAATGTTTCTAGTTGATTTTTCACTGTGTTTAGTTTAGCATAATGAACTGCTGGACACGAGTGTGTTTCTCAGTAAAACGCAGCTGGATGTTTGTGGCATGAACTTCTATGAAATAAAATTAAAAGTCTTAAAAAAGGGGGAGGATGTTGTTCACTTATATTACAGAATGTGTCTTTTCATATCAAGCTGTTACATGATGACCTTTTGAAGTTTGACGTTCTGAGATGGATTTGAAATCTTTTGTGTGTCTGGAATCCGTCTATTTAGTTCATTATTACCGGAAAACACACAAACACATCAGTCCCTTGAAGCTTTGTAGAAAAGACAATGAAGAACAAGAAAGTTCTTCAAAAGAAGATTGCTAAATGTCATATAATCTTTCTCCATAAGATTATAAGTTTTTCTTTTCTTTTTTTTTTACAAAAAAAACAAACATGGAAGCCTTAAGAAAAGCCTTTAGTGGATTTGATGATATTTCAAATAAATCTATTTCAGATTTAAGACAGCTGTTTTTTGTATGTACAACTACAAAAATCTAAAGAAGAAAAACATAGAAATGAGATAAATGGCTTTGATGTATGTGTTTTAGTTTTTATTGATTTGACCTGTTTATTGTTCTGATGTCTGTCCCGTCAGGTGAGGGACGTGTGGTACGAGGTCGGACCTGTGTGGTTCGTCCACAAGGACGGCTTCACCCGCGGTGAGTGAAGAACACACACCGAATGAAACTACATTCACAGGATTGGTGGAAAGAAAAACCCTGGTCTTTACCAGACTGAAAAGTAACTTCAGCAGATCCACAACAGAAGATGTTTCCTGTCATAAAACTGCAGATAAAAAGGGAGAGCTGTGTGAAAACAAAGTGCAACAGTAACTCTCAGTAATCTTTTTCTGTCTGGTTATATTGCTGGAGGGACTTTAGTCTGACTCTTGTTCATCAATGTGGTTTTATTTCCTCCATGACCGCAGCATCCAGCTCTGTGTTCACATAAAAACGCTTCCAAACAAATTGCAGCTGTTCAGTCTTCTTATTGTTCTGTCAGAAACTTTTACATTTAGCAAACCAACTGTAAATAAATTACAAATCTTTTAATTGTCATTTATTTGGTAATTTATAAAAACAGAAGGTGACAACTACCAAGCTTCTAAAGCATCTTTCAAAGATATTTTCTCTGTCGGTGACAGTTTTAATGAGCGGATCATGCAGCTGAGCTGCGTTAGCCGCTGTGTGTGTAAACACACTGCAGCTCTGCAGCGACGTGATCTGGGATTAGCAACATCATCTGTTAATCCACACACAGTCTGCAGTGAGCCAGCAGTGGCTGGACGTCCTGCTTTAAATTAATTCCGCTGCACTGATCCAGTTAGAGCCCGGCAGCCCTGACCTCTGACCCCCACCTCTACTGGGCAAAAAGCAGAGACTCTGAATGGGAAGCTCACCTGAAGGCGTGCCTGTTGGTTCATGTGGGATCTTTTAAACACTTCTCGTCTTTTCAGCCACTCAGCTGAAGCCGGATGAAGGAACGCCTGACCTCCCACCGGGTCGGGTCAGAGTCCGGCTGGAGACGGACGGCTCGCTCCACGACGTCACAGAGTTTGAAGTTGAAAAGGTGACTGCTTTTCTTTCTTTGTTTTTACTTACAAAGATTAATAACAGCAATAATATTAATATTATGCACTAGAGCTGCAACTAGCAGTTATTTTAGTAATTGATTATTCTGGTCATTAATCGATTTATCACTTTGAAAAAAATCACCAGATTTTTCTTTTATACAATATTAGAAATATTTTAATGATGTGACTAATCGAATAACTCGATTCCTTTTTTTAAATAAGGAGATAAACATTTCATTGCTTGAACAACAATAACAGCTTTGTTTTTTGTGAAATTGAACCAAGTGAAGCTAAAACTCCCACATGAGGAGTTTTTGGGTAAAACATTTTTTTTTTTTTGCATTCAAAGGTGTTTTTATCGTAAATGCAAAATATCATGTAATTTCTTTAATGTTTTACTTTTTGCACATTATTCTTTATTTAAAGAATGAAAAATATATACATATATACATCCTTATTAATGACAAAAAATAAATAATTTGGCAGTTTTTTTTCTCAGTGTTCTTTCTGCACCAGTAAAACTTTGCAGCGCTCTGAGTCAGAGCTGCAGCAGCTAACGGCTCTCTGCCTCCTCAGTGTAACCCGTCAGAGCTGGATGTGTGTGAGGATCTGAGCGACCTGCAGTGTGTGAATGAAAGTGGAGTTCTGCACACACTGACCAGTCGATCCAAAGCCGGCATGCCCCTCACTCATTCTGGACCCAACCTGGTCAGCCTGTGGCCCCCGCTGCAGACCCACAGCAAGGTGAGCTCCTTCTCACTTTAATAACCACATTTCCTCATCGACACACCTGGAGTGTTGGTTCTTTCATGCATGTTTGAGAAATCCTTTAATCTCCCGTGGCAACCAATCAGCTGTGAGAAACACCTGAGTGGACCTAGCTCCGCCTTCAAGGCAATAAAAATCCTGCAAATGTGTTTGTTTTTTTTAAAACATTTTTTCTACCCGGTTCTTTTTGTCTTAGACCTTGAAGACGCGGCGGGGGGAGTGTGTGTGGGATGCCCCCCCTGCTCTGGACGCGCTGGTCAAGCGGGTGTATCTGTCCATGGTGGGAACCCGGAGGGACCACAGTGTGTGTGCGTTGGGACGCAGCGGCACGGGGAAGACCACTACCTGCCAGGCGTTCACACACGCTCTGCTGAAGCAGGCCGGAGCAGCCGGACCGAACATCAGTGGTGAGACGACAGAACCAAACACACCACACAGAGTTTCATGCCGACGGTATTATAGCTAACTGAAACTAACGAACAAGGAAACATTTTCATTTACAGAAGTAAAAACAGTAATTAATGTGGAAAAAGTATAACTAACTGGAACTACTTTGTGTGTTTGTGAAACTAACTAAAACATATTCAATTATAGATATGATATCCTTTGTTTTTGTGCTTAAGAAACTTAATATCAGTCTTTTGAACAGATGAGAATTAGATTTTTCCCCCTCACCAGCAGTTTACATCAGCTGTCGATACATTACAGTCCTCCACTCTCCTCCAGGTGGCGCTAATGCTCGTCTGCAAAATAGTGACAACACAAGTTGGGAGAAAACTCCAATCAGCTGTAAAACAATAATTGAATATTTTTCTTTTTGAAGAAGGAATCAGTACTCAATCAATGTAAACAAAATCACAGTGCAATACTTTGACCTTTTTGAATTCTGCACCTAAAAATGAACAAAAGTATGAAAGAAGTAAAACTACTAAAAACTAAAGAACATTTAACCAATAATAACTAGTAAAATCTAGCATGCACACTCTAAAAACTAATTCAAATGAACTGAATTAGACAAACAAAAAGTCACAGTGAAATCAAACTAACCTATAAGAACCCAGCTGTGCTCCGGCTGACCCTCATCCTCAGTATCTGTCCCTCAGTGGAGCGTGTGAGCGCCATGTTCTCCATCCTGAGGTCCTTCGGCTGTGTGAGCTCCCTGCACAGCGACGCCTCATCTCGGTTCGCCACAGTCTTCTCTCTGGACTTTAACCACGCCGGCCAGGTCTCTGCCGGACACCTGCAGGTTTGCAGCACAGACACACACACACACACACACACACACACACGGATTAGCAGTCAAACACACTGAAGTTGATTCCTCCCGCTGTGCGGCTCTTCGTTACACAGACCATGATGCTGGATAAATGGACAGTGTGTCAGAAAACTCCAGGAGAAAGCAACTTCCTGGTCTTCTCCCAGATGCTGGCGGGACTCAGCTCAGACATGAGGTAACGTTTGAAATCAAAGCAGCTTTTCAATGACATGCTCATAGGAAGAGTTTTATTTCTCAAAGTTACATTTTCTGCAACAGATTCTGTCAGTTTCTCTCTTAATTTAACCAATTATTGTTAGTCATTTAATCTGAATAAAGTTTTCTGTTTTAGGTGAGTGAAGTTTTCCAGAATTATGTGAATTTTGCCAAATTTAGAAGTTGTGGATGTTTTTTAACACCTTAAACACACTACTTCCTGTTTGACATCATAGAACAATAAAACAGAAATCAGCCTAGATTTCAGGAAGAGAATCTGGATTAACCTGTGGTTCAATCTCCAGATGCTTTCATTTATTTAGACAGTAGATACACACACAGGTTTCCTCTGAGTTCTCTGATTTCCTCCTGCAAACCCAAAACAGCTCAGTCAGTTTCTCTATGTTGCCCTCAGATTGGGTCTCTGTGTGTTCAGGGTCTATCTCCCCCTCCCACAATAATTCAGCTCAATTAAATTAAAAAAAATACTTTATTTATTCCAAAGAGACATGAGATCTTGTGGTTATTCATATCATCCAAGTATTTTCAGACAGTTGTTGCTGATGCTGACGCTGTGGGCAGTAAGTGTCTCCCGTAGCGACTAACTTCCTGTTTTTTGCTCCCCAGGACAGAACTGCAGCTGCACCAGCTCCCTGACGCCAACTCTTTTGGTATCCTTCATCCCTCCAAGGTACAGAAAGAGCAGCTGCAGTGTGTGGATTAACACACTGCAGTCTGCACTGTGTCAGTGTGTTAGTTGATGGATGAGACGAGCCGACGCCTAGAAGACGACGCGTTTATCATGTGACCATAAATTCTGAAAATTTCCTGTAATTGAGAATTTGCATGTGGAAATGCATGCAAATTCATACCACACATTTACATTTTAGCCACACATTTTTCCAGCTTGTTACATCATTGTGCTAAAGATTCAATGGAATCGATAAGATAGGTCAGTTTTTCCAAAGTCGGGTCAAGTGAGCCGGTGCTTTTATGGCCTGACGACAGTTAAGAAATTCTGTTAATTGACCTTTGAATTAGCAAAAAGAAACAAGATCCCTGTTGGTAAAACCATAAAACACAGGAGCTGGGAGTGACACTGCCTGGTCGTGATCTTGAGATTTGGACTTCTTTAGGAGCTTCTCTTCAACTTCTAGTCAGCTGATGAAAAATCAGCTTGAATGTATTTTTCAATCATTTTCCTACTTTTCTCTCCTCCTTCAGTTTCTGCTGTTAGCATTTAGAAACTTGGTTGCTATGCACCACCATAATACTTACAGCACATAGACCGTGATCTGAGTTGATCTATATGTATGGTGGGGCAGGGCAAAGTGATCAGTAATAGATGCTTTACGGTTGTTAGTTTTAATCCAGACATAGAAGGAAAAAAGGGATTTTGTGTGACATTAAAATTTAAAGGACCAGTATTATGTAAAATAGACATTTTTGAGCTTTCCATCATGCTGTAATGTTACATGATGTAACATTAATGAGTGTTGCTTCGATTCTTTGGTTTGAGGAATCCTTTAATCTCCCATGGGAACCACTCAGGTGTGCCTAACAACAATTAATAACCAAAGAATTGTGATTGGATAAAAAAAAATCATAAATAATCATAAATTATCTCTTAAGCAACTGTACAGGTTTTCCACAGGAACCTACATTTGGATCATTCCTTTAATACTTTACATTAAATGGAGGTGCTATATAAAATCGACTTTTTTGAACTTTTTATCGTGGCATATTTTTTCATGCATCCTTGAATTTCCCATGGCAACCATTCAGTTGTGCCAAAGTGTCACCTATTGTTATATATGTTATAAACAAAAAACAAAACTAAAAATCTAGAATTTATTTTATTTGCACGGTGCAAAATCCTGACTTTATACAGAAAATGGTCTCCAGTTTTTCTGTCACAAGTGACACATAAAGGTTCATATTTTACTCCTATAGGACCACAGACACAAAGCCGTTCAACCCAGAGGAGTTTTCTCAAACTTTACCGAGATGAACTGTTTGTATCGGAGAGAAATTAAAATTTCCCATAACCACATCGTTCTCTGCTGGGCAACAAATGTCTTTTAAAAATAAAACTGGCTCTGTGCTATCGTCAGCCAGCTCAGTCTGTGCACAGTGAAAACCTCAGCGTTCATTAGCAGCTGCTGTGTCACTGCAGTGGCCTTAACATGTGAGACACAGCTGCAGTGTGTCAGTGAGCCGCAGCAGCAACAGGCAGTTAGCATCCATCCATCCATCCATCCATCCATCCATCCATCCATCCATCCATCCATCCATCCATCCATCCATCCATCC